CGGCCCGGCCCCGCCGGCGGGCAGGAATTCGCCCCGTGACCTCTCCGGCGCACTCCGGTCGCCATGGCGACCGCGCGCGAACAGCGGCCGATTGTCCCCGCGCGGCGGGGAGGGTGAAACCCGGGCCACGTGACCGATACCGGGCCAGGTGCGGGCGCCGCCGCCTCTGCGCCTTAACCCGTTCGAGGCTGCCCGGGGCCGGGGTCCCAGCCGCTGGGGGCCACGCCCCCGAGGCCATGGTCCCCACCCAGGTCATGGATGAATCCGAGCACTGTGCTCCGAGTCCACGGGCGTGGGCTTTACGATGGACCCCACGCGGGCTTCTGACTGGGGGCGGGGCCCGTGTCGGGGGGGCGGGACTACAAAAACCAGACCCCTCCTCCCAAGGCGCTGGGAATGCCGGGAGCCTGGGAGGGCCCCACCCGCAGTCGTGACTGACAGGCCCGCGCGGGAGGCTCCGCCCAGGGCCTCCGGAAGCCCAGGCCCCACCCCGCCCTCACCTGCTCTGAAATGTTCGCCTGGTAACCTCAAGACAACTGGTTTTTCTGCTTGCTGGGCCCAACCCGGAGCTGTTAGCTCTGTGACCAGGATGGGCCTCTTCCCTCTCCTCCCCCTCCCCAGGGGTCTCAGGTTCCTGACAGATGGCCGTAGGTCATGGCCCTGGCTAACCGGCCGAGCCACCCAACCTTTTCCCTTCCTCCCGAGGCCTAGAAAAACCTACTCTTCCTCCAAGGCCCCGCGGTCCCGGCCCTGGGCTCAGGTGTCCCCACCATCTCCTGTCATTGAAGGCTTGCACCAGCTGCATTTAGACTCCCCAGTGAGCTCGGTTAGAACAAGGCACCAGTTGGGTTCCCTTAGGCTCACAGTTGTGAGGCCTTGGAGTGGAAAAGCAGAGGACTGCTTCAGATCTGACCCCAAGGAGGTGGCAGAGGGGCCCTTGTCCTCTGCTGTGGTAGTGTGGGGCTGTAGCTGAGCCCCAGCTTAAGGTTTGACTAGGCACTCTCAGGTGCCCTTGAACCCCCAGCCTCCCTCATGCTGGGCAGGCTCCACTACCAAGCCACATTCCTAGACCAACAACCCTTGCATCTCTTGTTGATTGTTCAGTAAAATCACTAATACAGTTTGCATCAGATAACAAAACCTAACTCCAGTCCTCCAGGAGGCTGGAACTAGATGAAGGCCTAGGGAACTGCTGAGTAGACCCTCAAATGTTTTGAGGAGGGGCTGGGAAGGTGGCTCAGTGGTAGAGCACTTGCCTTGCAGGCATGAGGCCCTGGGTTCAATTCCTCAACACCATAGAAGCAAAAAGAAAAAATTGCTGTGGCGCTGTGGCTCAAGTGGTAGAGCACTGGCCTTGAGCTGAAGAGCTGAGGGACAGCACTCAGGCTTAGAGTTCAAGCCCCACGACCAGACCCCCCCAAAAAAATGTTTTGAGGATGTAAAGTACATTTCCACTCAGGAAATCTGGGAAGGATGAAGTGGCAGTTATCTCTAACCTCAAGAGATGTTTAGGGCACACTGGGAGTGGTGGTGCACACCTGTAAGACTAGCACCCAGGAGGCAAAGGCTTGTTAGATCCTGTCTTGAGTAACAACAAAGTGCTGGGCACAGGTGGCTCATGCTGTCATCCTAACTACTCAGCCCGAGAGCTGAAGATCAGGGCTGGAAGCTAGCCTGGTGGGAAACTCTGTGAGACTATTTCCAATAAGCTACCAAAAAGCTGGAAGTGGAGCTGTGCCTCAAAGGGTGGAGTGCCAGCATTTAGAGAAAAAGCAAGGGGCAGCACCCAGACCTTGAGTTCAAGCCCCAGAATTGGCATAATCACACACAAGAAGATACACAGGACCCAACATCTAGACAGACCGCTGAAAGGCAAACAAAACACCAGGGGAAACCGCAATTAATATCTAAGAAATAGAATGCCTGCTAGGGGACCACGGGAAGAACCCCTCTGGGAGAAGCCCCACTTAGGGACAGGAAGACCCAGGGGCTTTCGAGCAGAAAAGTACCAGAAGAAAGTGGTAGGAACAATAGACTAGGGGAAACTTGACTCCATCTCGCCCCCCGTAAAGCGAGGTGACTTCCGTGCTGCCAGGGCTGACCTGGGGCTTAAGGGAGGGCAGGGCAAAGGCGCTGATGCAGGCCGTGTGTGTGTCGGGGACTGAACATCCAGGTTTTTTGGATGTTTGAGATACAGTCTCACGGACCTTCCAGCCCCGATGCTCAGATCGCGGCCTCCTGAGAAGCTGGGATTACCGGCGCGAGCCGCGGCAGCCCGGCCACAGTCCGGGCACCTGGCCGCGCCCTGCCCGGGTCCCACCATCTCCGCACGCGGAGACCTAGGCTCTCCCTGGCCAAGGAAACTGCCCTCGACCTTCCGGCCGTGCCCTAGCAGGGGAGAAAGCGGCCCCACCCACCCCCGCCCGGCTCGGCGAGGGAAGCGATCCTCCAGAAGCCGCCTGCGCCGCCGCCGCGGCCCCTCCCAGAACGGACGACACCTGCGCCCGGCGGACCAGATTCTGACCCCAGGCTCGGAAATCCCGCGAGACGCGAGACTGGGAACGCGTCTCCCGGGGCTCCGCCCGGGGCGTGGCCAGGAGGCAGGCTTTGGAGGCGAGGAGTTGCACGGTAATACGCGGTGACGTAACTTATTGGGGGCGTGGCCACGGGAGGAGCCGGATTCGGCTTAGCGATTACGTGACTGAGAGCGCAGGCTCGTGTGGGAGGTGAAGGGGCGTGGACATGCTTGTTTGTGGGCGTGGCTCCAGGGAGAGCAATGCAGGACGTCCGCCGCGTGGGACGTGCTGTCTTAGGATCGGCATGCTCCGCCGCGCCGGCGCCTGGAGGGTCCTTCGTGGGGCGCTCGGCTCTCGGGTTCCCAACGTCTCCAGAGCTCTGATCGCGCACAGCAGCGGCGGCCGCGGAGACGCTGAGCCGAGGTCAGTCGAGGCGCGGAGACCGCCGTTCTGCGCCGCTCCTCCCCCGCTCCACGCGCCGGTCCCCGCTCCGCCCTGGCCGCGCCCCCCGGGCCGCCCCTTCCCTGCCGCCGACCCTCTCCCTGTCTCCCCCGCCCGCCAGGCCGCTGCCGCTGTCCTACAAACTTCTTGATGGGGAGGCGACCCTCCCGGCCGTCGTCTTCCTGCACGGGCTCTTTGGCAGCAAGACCAACTTCTCCTCGATCGCTAAGGCGGTGGCCGGGCAGACGGGCCGCCGGGTGAGCTTCGGATGGCCGGCCGGGCGGGGCCTGGGAGGGGCCTACATTTGACCTCGCTTCTGGGCTGCTGCTGGCCTACCCACGAGGTTTTAGCCAAAAGTGACACAGAAATCAAAGAAGCTGCCGGGCTCCGGTGGCTCACGCCTATACTCGTAGCTACTCAGGAGGCTGAGATCTGAGGATCGTGCTTCGAAACCAGCCCCGGCAGGAAAGTCCATGAGACTCTTATCTCCAGTTAACCACCAGAAAACCAGAAGTGGTGCCGTGGCTCAAGTGGTAGAGCGCTTGCCTTGAGCTGAAGAGCCTAGGGACAACGCCTAGGCCCAGAGTTCAAGCCCCACGACCGACAAAAAAAAAATCAAAGAAGCCATTCCAAGGATGGAGAGAACCCACGCGGACCTGGCTCTGCTTGGACCGACGTTCATGTCCCCTCTTGTGTGCTAGTGTGCGGGTACTGGGGCTTGAACTCAGGGTCTGAGCTCTGTCTCTTAGCTTCTTTCAGTTTAGGCTGGTGCTCAACCACTTCTGGCTTTTTGCTGTTTAATTGGGGAGAAGAGTCTCACCGACTTTGCTGTCCCACGTAGGCTTTGAACCTTGATCTTCAGATCTCAGCCTCCTGAGTAGCTAGGATTATAGACGTGAGCCACGGGGGGGGGCACTCAGCTGTTTAGTCCATTCATATTAGACCTCTCCATTGCTTCTCCACAATGAGCTAGCCTCCACTCACACCCTCACTATAAAGGGTCTGGCTCCTGCTTGCTCACTCGGGATGACAGGGAGCTCACCACTCCTTATGGCAGCAACCCATTGGCCTTATCCTAATGTTGGAAATTCTTGGCGTGGCTTTCTTGGATGCCATCTAGCCAGCCCAGATATAGTCAGTCTTTTTTTTATTGTTGTTGTTGGTTGGTTGTGGGGCTTGAACTCTGGGCTTGGGCGCTGTCCCTCCGCTCTTCAGCTCAAGCCGAGCGCTCTACGACTTGTCACAGCGCCATTTCCGGCTTTTTCTATTTATGTGGTGCTGAGGAAACGAACCCAGGGCCTCATGCATGCAAGGCAAGCACTCTACCACTGAGCCACCTTCCCAGCTCCTGTAGTCAGTCTTTTGTGGAAGAGTGGCCTGCTTTATGTGGGGCTCCTTGATGTGGCCCCCACACGTTCCTCAGCACCTGTCCCCAGCTTTGTCTTTGCAGTCTTCATGGCTCAGGCAAGATTCTCTCCCGGGTACTTTTGACTAATGCTTAGAGTAGCACTACCCCTTCTCACTTCCTAGGTGCTGACTGTGGACGCTCGGAACCATGGTGACAGCCCCCACAGCCCCGATGTCAGCTATGAGGCCATGAGCCAGGACCTACAGGACCTGCTGCCCCAGCTGGGCCTGGTCCCCAGCATCCTCATTGGCCACAGCATGGGAGGAAAGACTGCCATGCTGATGGCACTACAGAGGGTGAGCCCACCCTCTGTGGGATCTCCCCAGCCAGTGTAGATATGAGGTGCCCAGCAGGTGCACTGGGACTCATGGAATACTTCCATGGCCAAGTTCAGGTTCTGGAGACCTAAGGGCTTGCAGCATGACTCGGGGGGGGGGGGTAAGACCCAGCGTCTTTCTAAGAAACACACTGTACCTGCCTTGAGCCACCCCAGCCCTCTTCTCCCCCACAGCCAGACCTGGTAGAACGTCTGATAGCTGTGGACATCAGCCCTGCACCCACTACATCCGTCTCTGATTTCAAAGCCTACATGACAGCCATGAAGGCCATCTCCATCCCACAGAAGGTGCCCCGCTCCCAGGCCCGCAAACTGGCGGATGAGCAGCTCAGGCCCATAGTACAGGTGACATGCCCCAGCCCTCCCCCCCCCCCCGTGCTTCCTGGGAGCAGTGTTGGGAAGAGAGGCAGCCCCTCCACACCCAGGGCTCACAGCGAACGCCCCGTAACTGCCAGGCCCCCACAGGACACGGCAGTCCGGCAGTTCCTGCTCACCAACCTGGTGGAGGTGGACGGGCACTTCTCATGGAGGGTGAACCTGGATGCCCTGGCCCAGCACTTGGACCAGATCATGGCCTTCCCTCCACAACAGCAGTCCTACCCTGGCCCAGCCCTCTTCCTCCTTGGTGGGAACTCCCAGTTTGTACAGTAAGCCAGCCCTGGTGTGGGAGGGAGGCGTTCACTCAGTCTCCTACCTGAGGAATGGGCCTGAAGCACTCCGTGGCTTCCCTCCCCACCTGGCCTCTGTTTGTCTCCTCTTCCTGTGGCCCTTCTGCGGTGGACAGGCCCAGCCATCACCCTGAGATTTGGCGGCTCTTCCCCCGGGCCCAGATGCAGATGGTGCCTAATGCGGGCCACTGGGTTCACGCCGACCGCCCACAGGACTTCATGGCTGCCGTCCGGAGCTTCTTGGCCTAAGATGGAGACCCCAGGCTTCACATCCACGTGGCTGGCCCCCGCTTCTACGTATGACTCAGGCAAGGCACTGAGCATGTATGAGGGTGCAGAGGCAGGGGAATGCCAGCTTTAATGAATAAAAATAGTGTTCCCCATGTCTGGCCCTCATTTCTCACCACCAGTGCCTCCGCCAACCAGAGGGGAACAGGGCCCAGGGGCTCCTGGCCATGCTGGCAGCGCTGGGGTCCCCGAGGGCTCGCCTGAACTCTCCATGCAGCTGACTCTGGACCCGCTGTCTCACCAGTTGCCGCATATCCTCCTGGGGACAGAGAGCAGGTTCAGGGCCATCCCCAGCCATCTTCCATGCCTCCCAGGCCCGGCGGGCATCCTCACCCTACCTCCCAGGCCTCCACCTCCTGCCTCAGTCGCAGTTTCTCTGCCAGGACCTCCAGCAGCTGGGCCTCCACCTCCCTTAGCCTGGCTTTGCATGTGTCCAGCTCAGCCTCCACTGCCTGCTTCCTGCAGGGGACAGGAGCAGCAGCCTGAGGCTCGGGGCCCTGGCCACAGCCCTGGCCTTAGTTGACAAAGTGGGTAGTTTGGTGGCTTCTCTTCAGCAGGACAGGCCCTGCAGTGGAGCCCCAACCTCCCCACCCAGCCCTCCCTATCCCGGCCTCCTCCTCACTTGGCAATGGCTTCATCCCGCTCCCGGAGGGCCTGGTCCAGGGAGGGCCCTAGCTGGATGTCCCCCAGCACGACCGCCGCTTGGGATTCCAGGCCCTGCTGGAGTGTGGCATGGGAGGGGTTTTGTTGGTCGGGGCTTGCTGGGAGAGATAACCCAGCCCGGGGGGACCCTGCCACCTGGGCTAGGATGGTAGGGGAAGAGGCTGAGGCCTTCCATGTCTTCCAGTGTCAGTCCTAGAGGCCTTGGGAATGCTGAAGACAGCAGGGCGACTCAGCCATACTGAAAGATACTGGACTGGCCAAGGCCTAACCTAAAGACCAGCAGTGTGGGCGGGGCCTCTGATCCCCCCAAAGAGGGAGGGGTCCTCACGCAGCCCTCGGGGAAGGACAAGGTTAGTGGGTTTTGAACACTTACCCTGCAGGCCCTGGACAGAGACAGAGACAGAGACGGAGGCCTGGTGACAACTCTGGCCAGTGGGGTGGGGCAAGTGAAGGACGAGGCCCTTTGCCCCGTTCCAGGTGGGGCACGCCTGGGCAGGCTCCACCCTGTGATGGCCAGCTGGGGACTAGGAGCAAGCTGCCCTTCCCTGCCTGTCCCTGCCCTGGCTTGCTGACTTCTGCCATAGGGGGCACTCCACATGTCACTTGTGCCAGGGGATGGCCAGGATGGGGCCAGGCAGGTCCAGTGCTGAGACAGTCACAGCCCCCAGCCTGAAGGGCTGGCAAACCACGCATGCGTCATTCACACATAAAACGAACCTCAGCTATCCAGAGTGGGAAAAAACTTTTTTCCTGACAGATTTCTCTGGACATAATTTTTTTTTTCCTTTTTCTTTTTTTTGGTCATGGGGCTTGAACTCAGCTTGGGCACTGTCCCTCAGCTCTTCAGTGCAAGGTGAGTGCTCTACCACTTGAGCCACAGTGCCACTTCCGGTTTTTCAGGTGGGTTTTGGAGATAAGAGTCTCACAGCCTTTCCTGCCCTGGCTGGCTTTGAACCATGATCCTCAGATCTCAGCCTCCTGAGTAGCTAGGATTACAGGCATGAACCACAGGTGCCTGGATTTCCTTTTTTAGCCAGTTACTTGATCTTGAATTTGGAGCATGGGCATTGTCCCTGACATTCTGTCTTTTGAGTTGCAGTTCTACTTCAAGCTTTTTTGGTGATTAATTTTAGTTAAGACTCTCATGGACTTTCCTGCCCAGGCTGGTTTCAAACTGAAAACTTCAGATCTCAACCTGAGCAGGACTTCAGATGTGAGCCATTGGTACCTAGCTCCTTCCTTAAAAAAAGTGTGTGTGTGTGTGTGTGTGTGTGTGTGTGTGTGTGTGGTCTGCACAGGGACACAAAGTGTGTGTGTGTGTGTGTGTGTGTGTGTGGTCTGCACAGGGACACAAAGTGTGTGTGTGTGTGTGTGTGTGTGTGTGTGGTCTGCACAGGGACACCTCCCTAGCTCAGTTTCCGCCCAGTATCTGTTACCTAGGTAACTGGCAGACCTGGAAGTGGGCACCTTCTCTTCCTGCTAGGTCATATCCTGGGCCACCTCTGGTCACATGCCTCCCATCTGACCTGAGGAGGGTCCCAGACCCTGAGGTAACATCTGGATTCAGTGTGGCCACACCTCTTCCTGTTCCTGGCCTAGATAAGTCCTTGCCAAGGGGTGGGTCCTGTTTCCTTTTCAGCCAGGTCTCTTCACCATGCACGGCTGGGGCAACAATTCGGTAAATAAACTTATGCCTGAATAGCATGTGTTCTCTTCATTGGCTAATGAAACCTACCTATTTAATATACCTTACATAATATTTGCATATATATACTCACACATATATTATGCATAATGCAAACATACACACTATTTTTGTAGAAAGGAGTTGCCATTCAACAAAGTTTATGAATACAGTGCATCTTGATGTTCCCCCTTTCATCATCATTATTCCTCCTTTCCTCCTGGGCCCTTTAAAGGACAATGTTTCATTATGTAGCCCAGGCAGGCTTAAAAGTTTCCCCTCTTCAGCTTCCTGTGTGTAGCCTTTCCATGTGAATTTAAGTCACATCAATAGGAATATGTATCACTTAAGATTATTGGAGGAGGGAGAGATGTAGACAATGAGGCTTTTGTTTTTGTTTTTGGTTCGGTCGTGGGGCCTGAACTCTGGGCCTGAGCACTGTCCCTCAGCTCTTCAGCTCAAGGCTAGTGCCCTACCACTTGAGCCACAGCGCCACTTCCGGCTTTTTTCTTTTTGCTTATGCCGTACTGAGGAATGGAACCCAGGGCCTCAGGCATGCAAGGCAAGCGCTCTACCACTGAACCAACTTCCTAGCCCCAGCTTTTTTTTTTTTTTTTGGCATCATGTTCACTTAGGTTGTAGTGGTATATGCCTTTAATCTCAGTACTCAGGAGGCTGAGGCAGGAAGATCTCAAATTGAAGGGCAGTCTGGTCTACATCTTGAAATGTGATCTCAAAATACTTTTAAAGGCTTCCTTCACTCCCAGTGTTAGTTTTTGTTTTTGTTTTCCTTTTGCCAGTTTTGGGGTTTGAAAGCACAAGTACCTTGTGCTTTCTCTTGGTTTGCTTGCTTATTGTTGGTGTCCTACCACTTGAGTCATGGCTCAAGCCATGCTTTTAGCTGGTTAATTGGAGATAAGAGTCTCACAGACTTTCCTGCCTGGGCTGGCTTAGTACAGTGATCCTTGGATCTCAACCCCGTGAATAGCTGGAATTACAGGTGTGAGCCAACAGTAAGCACTCAGTTCATTTAGGTTTTTTTTTTTTTTTTTTTTGTCGTGGGGTCTGAACTCTGGGCCTGGGCGCTGTCCCTCAGCTCTTCAGTTCAAGGCTAGTGCTTTGTCACGTGAGTCACATCACCACTACTGGCTTTTTCTGCTTATGTGGTGCTGAGGAATTGAACCCAGGACCTCATGCACACAAGGAAATCACTCTACCACTTAGCCACCTTCCCAGCCCAGTTCATTTACTTATAATAGGTGGACACATGGTTTTCTGTTTTACTCACTGGGTTTTAATGCATTCCTATTGTTTATTTTGGTACTCAGAATGTGCCAGATTTGGCCAGTGGGTGTCCCTGGCCAGCTTCTTGGTCTGGCACCTCCCATCATTCTTTGGGTGCTTGGCTTTCTCTCTAGCTTAATAAGATATCCCAGGCTGGTCTTGTTTTGCTCTGACCTAGTGTGGAGCTTGCCATCTCTTCAAGGACATCAAGTTCTTTTTGGCAGGAAGTACACTGCAGTCAGCCCTCTGCACTTGGGAATCCCAATATGGGCTCTCCTTAACTTAGGTGTGTCCTAAGTCCTTCATGACTGACTTGTCATCCCACCCACGTGCCATTCTTTCTCTGAGGCCAGACTGCCAGTGGGCTGCCAGATGTTTCCAGGAATTTTAGACGTTTTGCACATTCTACAGTTACTTAGCATTTGCCACATTCTAGGCATGCATGCAGGGTCCTGACAAAATAGATGTACTCTGGCCTCAAACAGTTTTACATTCTATTAGGAAAAAGACTAGAGAAATAAGGAGACAGGTGTGGCAGTACCTGCCTGTAATCCCAGTTCTCAGGAGATTGGGGCAAGAGAACTGGAAGTTTGAGGTCAGATCGAACTATATAGAATCTGTCTCATGTGTATATATATATATATATATATATATATAGAGAGAGAGAGAGAGAGAGAGAGAGAGAGAGAGAGGAAGAAGAAGAAGAAGTCTGTTGCTTGTGACTCATACCTGTAAGCCTAGTTACTCAGGAGCCTGAAATCTAGGGGACTGCAATTCCAGGCCAGCCAAAGCAGAGAAGTCCATGAGACTGCATCTCCAATGTAAGCAGCAAAGCCAGCTGGAGGAGTGATTCAAATGATAGAGCACGAACCATGAGCAAGAGCCCCTGAGTATAAAACTCAGTACTGAGCCCCCCTCCCAAAAAAAGTTTTCTGGTAAAAGTAAGGATTGGTGGGGCGGGGGGGGGGGCATAGGGATGACCCAAGGCCATGGCAGAGATGCTGGGGTAGAAACTCAGGTGAAAGATTTGAGTAAAACCTCAGCCACCAGTCTGGAAAAAAACATTGTTTCAACATAACATTGTCCTTTAATGAATGTGATTTTAAATATTTAAAATTTCAATATTTTCACTACCGTAAGTGGAGGGTCAATTCCTCATCTCTGAGGGGAGAGTGCTGTCCACTGGACAGGGCTAATCCTAGTGATCACAACAGCCAGGAATCAGTGGTCACCTGTAATCCCAGCTCCTCGAGAGACAGGCAGAGGGATCCACGAGACTCTTAGCTCCAATCAACCAGCAAAATGCCAGAAGTGAGCCGTGGCTCCAGTGGTACAGCGACAGCCTTGAGTGAAAAAAAGCCACGCAAGAGCGCAGAACCCGGGGTTCAAGCCCCAGCACAAGCAGAAAGCCCCGGCTGGGCCCGGCAGGGCTGGGCCTGGCCTGCGTCCCGCTCCTCCGTTCAACGGGGCTAATTAAAAGCCTCCCCCCCAGAGGCCTGGGTCACCTGCGGTTGTGCACAGCCCAGCCATCCGCAGGGCAGGGCCAGAGTTCGCGCGAGAAGAGGAAGAGGGACTTCAGCGCCGGTAGCGCGCGCATGCGCACGCCGCCCGGAGCCCGGGTCCGCCGCCCCATCCGACAGCGCGGAGCCCGCACACCCTCTTCTTCCCCCTGCTCTAACACCCTCATAGCCCCTGCAGGTCCCACACCGTCTAGTCCCGTTCCCGCCAGCGGGAGCACTGGGAGCGGGAGGTGATGTCATCCTAGCCTCCGCGCAGGTGCGGGGCGGTACCGGCCGTGGCCGGCAGGTGGCAGCAGCGCCTAGTGCCTGGGACCCGCGGAGCCACCCAGTTGCTCAGTGCAGAGCCTTGGAGGCCCACTGCACCTGCTGGCCACGTCCGCTGGGCCCCAAGCCCCGCCGGAAGTCGTGTCCGGAGAGGTGAGGCAGGGCCTGGCAGAGAAGGACAGGGAGAGCCAGGTTGAAATGCTGCCTTGAACAAGTAGGAGAAACCAATGCTTTTAACAAGCAGCCACCAGACTTCAAAGAGCGATTATCCATCAAAGAATGGACGGGTATGCCTGTAATCCCTGCACTTGCGAAGCTGAGGCAAGAGGACCGCAAGTTTGAGACCAGCCTGGATTACATAATAAGAGCCTGCCTCCAAAAATAAAAAAGACTAAATTAAACAAGCAAAAAGAATAGGGGTGAAGCCAGGCATTGGTGGCTTAAACCTGTAATCTAGCTACTCAGTTATGGGCCAGCTTGGGCAGACAGGTGTATGAAACTCCATCTCCAAAGTAACCAGCAAAAAGCTGAGCTGGAGGCAAAGCTCTTGGAATAGAGCATCAGCTTAGCAATTTCCACTCCCACCAAACTACTCCCAAATTCCCAGCTGGCACCCCACAGAAACTGCACACACCATCTGGGGGCTCCCCTGGGTGTTGATGAAAGGACCTCAGATGCTACTCAGTCCAGGCTGACTCCCCACCTGCTCCCCCCAACCTGATTTTACTGAAGGACACCCAAACAGTAGCGAAGGGTTCAGTCCTATCTTATTTACATGGCTAATGCCAGAACCCTGCTCTAGCTCACAATACTGGTGTACTTTAAGCTGGGTATTGTAGTATGTGCCTGTAATCTCAGCACTAGGAGGCAGAAGCAGGAAGATCAAGAGTTCAAGGCCAGCTGAGAATGTGGCCTAGTGGTAGAGTGCTTGCCTAGCATGCAGGAAGCCCTGGGTTCGATTTCTCAGTACCACATACACAGAAAAGACCAGAAGTGGCACCGTGGCTAAAGTGGTAAAGTGCTAGCCTCAAGCAAAAGAAGCCCAGGGACAGTGCCCAGTCCCTGAGTTCAAGCCCCAGGACTGGCAAAAAGAATAAAAGTTCAAGGTCAGCTTAGGCTACATTGTGAGGCCCTGACTCAAAACACAAAATGCAAACAAAAAGGCTACTGGCATAACTCAAGTAGTGGAGCTCCTGCCAAGCAAGAAGGAGGCCCTGGGTCCTAGGATTGAAGAAAAAAAACCAGAAAGGAGGAAGGAGAGAATAAGTTGGTATATTTTTGTTTGGTTTATTTTATTTTATTTTTGTGTTGGTTCTGGGGCTTGGATTCAGGGTCTGGGCACTTTGTCTGAGCTTTTCTGCTCAAGGCTGGGGCTCTGCCACTGGAACCACAGCTTCACTTTTGATTATTTGGTGGTTCGAGTCTCATGGACTTTCTTGATTTCCAGATTGGCTTCAAACCATGATCTCAGCCTGGCTTCAAACCATGATCTCAGCCTCATGAGTAGCTAGGATTGGATTATAGTTGTGATCCATAGTGCTGGCTACAACTAACATATTCTTTTCATAATGGAAATAAGCCCCAGACACAGTCTTTCCCCCTCTCCAGCTCTGCCTTTGTTCCTGTGTTCACAGGTCCCTCCTGGACACCAGAGCAGATTTTCAGCTGCCCTGTCACCCTGAGGCTGCCTACTGGGAACCCTCTCTGTTCCTGTGCCTCTAGCCTGGACCTCCCCCCAGAATTCCAGGCTCCCAGGGGTCTACGTGCCTCCCCTTGGGCTGTCAATTTTTCTTTTTTTTCTTTGTTGGTTGTGGAGCTTGAACTCTGGACCTGGGCGCTGTCCCTGTGCTCTTCAGCTCAAGGGGAAAGTGAGCCACAGCACCACTTCTAGTTTTCTGGTGGTTCACTGGAGATAAGAGTCCCACAGACTTTCCTGCCCAATCTGGCTTGGAATTACAATCCTCAGATCTCAGCCTCCTGAATAGCTAGGATTTCAGGCATGATCCACCGGTGCCCGGCTTCAATGTTTGATTAAATGGCAGGCCTTGTTGAGAACCACCTGACAAGTCTGAAACCTCTATTCCTGCTGCACTGAGCCCACAGCTGCTCCACCTCCCACCTCCCCCCCTTCTGGTCAGAAGCCTTGCTCCAACCCAATGCCCTTCACACCAGTAGTCCCAAATACTCAGGAGGCTGAGCCTTGAGGATCATGGTTCAAAGCCAGTCTGGGAAGGAAAGTCTGTGAGACTCTCATCTCCAATTAACTGCCAAAAAAAGCTGGAAGTAGAGCTGTGGCTCAAGTGGTAAAGCATTTGCTTCTTTTTCTTTTTTGTTTTTGTTGGTTATAGGGCTTGAACTCAGGGCCTGGTCTGTCCCTGAGCACTTTTTCCTCATACTTGAATCCTCTCTGTCTTCTCCCTACTATATGGGGTTCCCCGGAATACAGAAGGGGCCCCATGCTTGCTTTGCCAAGCCATGTGTGTCCTGGCCACAGGCTTCCCCTGAACACAGGAAATTCCCCTGACCCCAGGGAAGTCCCCCTCCCTATGGCACCCTCTCATGTACCAAGTGAGTGGCAGCTGGTGGACAGCTGGGAGGGGTGTGGCTGCCTGGTTGCTAAGCCAGACACATCCTAGTGTCTCGAGCCAGATTCTTCATGGAAGGCTGGACCAGCATCCCCAGCCTGCCTGCCAGCCAGCTAACCTAAGCTGAAAGTCTGGGACATGTGCCAGGCTCAGACATGCTGGACAGCAGGAGGCTGGACTGGATCCAGAGCAATGCTGGAGGGGGTTGGAGGGGTGGGGCCAGGAAGGTGGCTCAGTGGTAGAGTCCTTGCCTAGCACGTGTGAAGTCCTGGGTTCGAGTCCTCAGTTCCACATACACAGAGAAACCAGAAGTGGTGCTGTGGCTCAAGTGGTAGAGTGTTAGCCTTGAGCAAAAGAAGCTCAGGGACAGTGCCCAGGCCCTGAGTTCAAGCCCCAGGACCAGCCAAAAAGAAAGGAAGGAGAGAGGGAGAGAGAGAGAGAGAGAGAGAGAGAGAGAGAGAGAGAGAGAGAGAGAGAATGCTAGGAAGAGGGAGGATGTGGAGGGTGTGGGGGTGGCCATGCTTGCACCTAGATGTTGGCAGGGAGCCTGAGAGGGTCACCACCCCATTACCCCCGTGGGTCTTTGCATTGAGCCATGAAGGAGCCAGAGCCCAGACTGAGCGCAATCTGACCTAAAGATGGTTGGGAAGGGCCACACAGAGAGAGATGCAACCTGTATCCTCACTTCCTGCAAACTGCTGGGCCTCATGAGCAGAAAAGAGGTAGCCCCAGCCTCCCACCCTGGAAAAGAGGGGACCAGAGCCTGCATCCTGATGAGAGGGTGGGAGAAGAGGGAAGGGCAAGGAGGAACTCTCTGAATGAGTGCGGGTGGAGAGAGATGGGGGCGTGTGTACGTGCAAGTGCACCAGTCCTGGGGCTTTTACTCAGGGCTCAGGGCCTGGGCACTGTCTCTGAGCTCTCTACCACTTTGAGCCACAGCTCCACTTCCAGCTTTTTGATGGTTCATTGCAGATAAAAGTCTCATGGATTTCCTGCATGGGCTGGCTTCAAACCCAGATCCTCAGATCTCACCACTGAGTAGCTGGTACTACAGGTGTGAAGGCTTGGATGGGGAAATTTTGTTTTTATTTTGTCTGTCCTGGGGCTTGAACTAGGACTAGATGCTGTCCCTGAGCTCTTTTGCTTAAGCCTAATTCTCTACCTCTTTGGGCCACAGCGCCATTTCCGGTTTTCTGGGGGTTACTTGGAGATAAGAAGCCTCATTGATTTTCCTGCCCCGCTGGCTTCGAACTGCGATGTTCGGATCTCAGCCTCCTGGGTAGCTTGGATGAGACATGAGCCACAGCACCCACTGGGGATTTTGACCTGGGAGTGGGGTTCCCTCCTCCAGCAATTCCAGGGGATGAGGACCCAGGCCCAGACCAGGACGCTGAAGGAAGGATGCTGTGGTCGGACGGGGGAGGGGCAGACCCCCGTCTGCGTCCACACCGGGAGACGCTATTCAGGCACCGTGGAGGGCGTCTCCAACCAGGGCTCCAACCGGTCCAGGAGATTTAGCAGTTTAGTATGGAGTGCAGGGCGAGCAGGCGAGGCCTACCGAGGTGAGGCGTGGTCTTACAGGCGTGGGTAGGGCCAGGGCACGTGGGGGTATGGCCTTGGGTCACGGGCGTGGTCTGGAGGGACAGTGGGCGAGTCTTGTTGCGTAGAGGCGGGGAGGGATTGAAGGCGTAGTCTTTGCGGGGGGCTTGGGTGGGGCCTAGCGCGGCCTGGGCGGGGCTTTGGGCGTGGCCTTATGGGCTACGGGCGTGGCCAGGGTGTTGACGGATGGGTGGAGCTGTGGGCGTGGCAGTGCGATTGTGGGTGGGACTGTGGGCGTGGTCCTTGGAGGGCGGGGCCGGCTGGGGCCGGGCCGGGGTCCCGGGGGCTGGGGCGGGGCCGGGCGGGCGCTGCGCAGTCGCGGGGCGGCCGTCGCGCATGCGGGACTTGGTCGCTGCAGCCGGTGCCGCCGCTGCTCGGGGAGCATGAAGGACCGAACCCAGGAACTCCGCACGGTGAGTGCGCCCCGCGGGGACGCCGTCACCTGTGCCTGGGCGCTGGACAGCCTTGGCCCCTCGCCCGCGGTCCCCGAGGCGCGGCCCAGCGTCTCCGGCCGGGGCGGAGAGAGCTGGGAGAGCCGCGGGACCCTGACCTCCCCTCGGGTCCCGCCCCTTGGACTCCTTTGGGGTCCCCGGCTAGCGCGAGCTCGGCCGCGGGAGCCCGCGGGGGTTGGCGGCCGGAGCCTGCGGTGCTGGAGAAACTTTCCCGGACCTCGCGGTTTCGGGGGCATCGGAGGGCTGGGGTGGGGGGTTTCGGGGGCGGGACGGGAGCCAGCTCCCCGCCCGAGGGGCAGGTCTGGTCTCCGGTCCCCCATTGTCCCACGTCCCCCTGGATGTGGACGGCGGGAGCGGGCCGGGCGCCACCTGCCAGGAGCCCCGCCGCGGGGTGCCTGGCGGATGCCCGGGTTCGGGGCGCCCTCCCGGGCGGGAGCCGCCTCGCCCGCGTCACCTGTGGCTCGCGTCCTGCTGGCCCGGTCCTCGGCGCGCCCGGGTGTGGGGGTGGGGTGGGCTCACACCTGTCCGGCCCCTGGCTCACTTTCGGGCTCCAGGGTGACGTTTGCAAACCTTTCCTGGGTCCCCTGGTCTGACGGCAGCGAGCGGCATTTATTTTTCCACCTGTGTCTCCCAGGGCCTTCGGGGTGTGGCTCCTGGGGCGCGGCTAGCGGGGTGCGTGGAGGTTCTGAGTCCCAGCTCCAGGTCTCCCAGTCCTGACGGAGACCCCAGCTGCCCCGCCTCCTGCACGGGTCCCCCTTGCCGCCCCCCTCCGCCTTTAGGGGTGGGAGGAGGTCAGTGGATGGGGGGGGAATGACAGAAAGGAAGCCGGCACGTGGGGTCAGGCCCTGCTCACTGATCCCGCCGAGCCCCAGGCTTAGCAGCTCCTCACTTAGAGCCAGACCCCTTGCCCCTCTTGCATGGGAACTTACTTCTGACCCCATAGCTTGTGATCTCTGACCAGGTGCTCCCCAAATTTGTGCCTGCCTCTTCTCCTGAGGTGGGGGAAGGCCCCGTTTTCTGCCTCCATCTCACCCCGTTCTGCGCCTGCCAGCCCCCACCTGCCTTCAGACCTGTGTTTACCCCTGGCCCAGTGCCCAGCCCCAGGGTAAACCCCACAGGTTTCAGAGGAAGAAGATGGTCCCTCCTGGTCTCTAAACACGCCCCCACTGGCGATCCTGCTTCTCTCAGGTGTCCTGCTGTCCCTAGCAGAACATGGCCGGGCAGTTACCTATGTTGAGATGTCTCATGGGTACCAGTGGAAACCCAGAGATTGGGGGATACAGTCCTTCCCCCCCCTAATCTTCCAGTAGCTCCTGGCTTGCCGGTCTTCATCCCCTCTGTGGGTGGGGAAACTGAGGCACTGAGAATCAGCACCTGGCTTGGCAGATGAAGGGATAGGATGCAGGGGCTCAGCATGGCCTCTGAAGGTGGTCAGAACTGAGGGTTCCCCCAGAAGAGCTTGAGTTGGGAGGTACTTGTGAACCCAGAACTTTGCCCCTCCCTCTCTGCTGGGTGACCCCCTTCCACAGGAATGCCTAGCTTTGCTTTGTTTTTATTTTATTTTAATTTTTTTTTGTCGGTCGTGGGGGCTGAATTCTGGGCCTGGGCGCTGTCCCTTCTCTCTTAGCTCAAGGCTAGCGCTCTACCACTTGAGCCACAGTGCCACTTCCGGCTTTTTCTGCATATGTGGTGCTGAGGAATCGAACCCAGGACCTCAGGCATGCAAGGCAAACGCTCTACCACTGAGCCACCTTCCCAGTCCAACCCCCTCCCCGTCTTTTTTTTTTTTTTTAATATAGTGAGATAGTGTCTTGCTCTCTAGTTTGTGCTGGCCTTGAACTCGGGATTTTTCTGTTTCAGTTTCTCAAGTGCTGGTGTTACAGATCAGGCTCTGGTTTTGCTCCCTTAGTATGTGCCCTGTGCACCCAGAGCGTGCAGAGCTCCTGCACCACTAGCCCTGCTCCTCAGATGAGGCCTTCTAGCAGATTCTATTTTCTGGCAGGAGCCCACACTGGCTTGGGGGAGGGAGGGAAGAGAGTGAATCTTGAGGTGTTGTCCTTCCTAGAGCTCCCTTTCCCTTTGGGCCGGGGGTTTCCATCTGTGAAGCAGGAGGAAAACCTAGATTTCAGATTCTCAAAGGCTTCTGGTTTTCTTACTCCGCATTTGGAGGGGACCTTGAACCCCAGGAGCCTACCCTTACCCCCTTGAAGGGAGACAGGCTAGGGCTGGCCAGGGTGACCATAGACAGTTCAGGCTAGCAGCTGTGCCCTGCTCCCATTCTTCCTTCCCTCCCCCCCCCTTCCTCTTCTCCTCCCCCACCCACCGCTGCCAGATTTGGAAGGAAGGAAAGGAGCTTATTTATAAAAGTCACACTTGGGAAGGAGCTGCTGTTTCCTCGGCTCTGCAGCCCTAGCCCAGCCCTCCCACATGCACCTCTCACGGGGCCCATTTCCCCCTCAGCAGAGGGCCAGTGCAGAGCTCCTTGTGGCCTGTGTGGGTCCCTCATCAGTATTCAGAGATCGGGTCAGCCCTTTAGGGTGCACGTGGGAAATGAGACCCTAGAGGAGCAAAGACTGGCTCAAGCCAGCTGAGGATCGCAGTTAAAAGTGGGACCAGGCAGAAAAGTCTGTGACTCTTCTCCAGTTAACCACCAAAAAGGCTGGAAGTGGAGTTGTGGCTCAACTGGTAGAATGCCAGCCTTAGGTGAAAAAGCTAAAGGACAATGTCCAGGCCCTGAGTCCAAGCCCCAATACCAGCTCCAACTCTACCCCCCTCCAAAAAAAAAGAAAAAAGAAAAAAGGATGGATCAGCTCGAGCGAAAGCAAATAGCTACCAAGTAAGAAGGCTGGGGGTGCTCACACCCAGCCTCTAAAGTCCCCTGAGGTCTGGCGCAGGCCAGCTCACTGGAAACTGAAGCTCCCTCCTGTGTGCCCCCCCCCCCGCCCCAGCCCACCCACCCATCCTCTGTCTCTTGTTCAGTTCCTCTGTTCAGCTCACCTGTGGAGTAGAGCTGATTTTACAGAGAAGGTGAGAACAGGCCCAGGAGGCCAGGGATGAGGGTATGTGTGTGTCTTAGACTGAAGGATGGCGACACAATTTTTATCTGGGGTGCTGATGGCCTCATTCTCTGCACTACTGGGATTTGAACTCAGGGCCTCATACTTGCTAGGCAGGTGCTCTACTATTTGACCTCAGCCCTAACTTCCTGTCTCAGATCACGCAAGCCAAGATCAGAAAGGGCTAGGATTTATCCAAGGTCACACAGCAGAGCCCAGCCTCTTTCCAGATCTGGGCCTTAGTGAGCTCCCAGGGGCCCTTTAAAGGGGACCCATCCTGGGGGGAGCAGAGAGCCCAGGATGTGGGGAGGGAACAGAGGTGCCCCGATTTTAGAGCCAGCTTTACTGGGGAGCTGCCTGGCCTCTCCCATACCCGGATTCTACTCTGGGCCTCTCTGCACAGTGATATTGACTTTGATTAGTCATTAAAAAGAGGAAAGGGAAAAAATAGCCCTGGAGGCAGACAACAGAGCTGGCTGGGCCCAGCTGTGATGAATCTACCCTGCCTGCCGGCTGGCCTGACACCAGGCGCCGGGGATGGGCCTTAGTGCCTCCTGTAGTGGCCAGACTCGTTACCTGATAGGCACCCTGGGGTCCAGGACCAACTACAGGATGAGCACCAGGGCTGCCCAGCACCACCCAGAGCAGCTGTTTTCTGCCCCGATGGTTCAATCCAGCTATGAGGCTTGAGCTGGGGCTGTTGCCCAGAGGCTGGAAAACCAGACCTAAGCTATCCAGGTGTAGAGAGTGCATTTTATGTGCTGTGCTATGGAGCACAGGGCCTTGGGCTTGCTAGACAAGTGCTTGAACTCAGAGCCTGCTTGCTAGCAAGCATTTTACCACTTGAGCCATGCTCCAGCTTTTTGCTTTAGTTCCCCTCTCCCTCCCCCCCACCCCCAATAATGGGGCTTGAACCCTGCCTGGGCAATGTCCCTCAAGGCTAGGGCTCTACCACTTGAGCCACAGCGCCACTTCCAGTTTTCTGGTGGTTAATTGGAGGTAAAAGTCTCACTGTCTTTCCTGCTCATGCTGGCTTTGAACCAAGATCCTCAGATCTCAGCTTCCTGAGTAGCTAGGATTACAGGTGTGAGCCACCAGCACCCGACTTGCTTTAGTTTTTGTTGTTTGTTTTTTCTTTTTTAGACAGGTCTCTTCCCTTTGCTAAATCTGGCCGCAGATTTTAATCCTCCTACCTCTGCCTCTAGGGTGCCTCTTGGGATTACAGGTGTGAGCTATCAAATCTGGCTTGGAGGAGTCACACCAGCCACACCCTTACAAACTCCCACTCAGCCTCTGGAAGGGTCTAGAAGCACGCTTTTTTGTTTGTTTGTTTTGTTTTGTTTTTTTGGTCCCGTCATGGGGCCTGAACTTTGGGCCTGGGCGCTGTCCCTCAGCTCTTCAGCTCAAGGCTAGCACTCTACCACTTGAGCCACAGTGCCACTTCCAGTATTTTTCTTTTTGTTTATGTGGTGCTGAGGAATCGAACCCAGGGCCTCATGCATGCAAGGCAAGCGCTCTACCACTGAGCCACCTTCCCAGCCCCTAGAAGCATGCTTTTTTTTTTGTTTTTAATTTAATTTTTTTTTTGTGAACATACTGTACAGAGGGGTTACAATTACATGGGCAGGATAATGCGTACATTTCTTATCAAGCATTGCAGCCTCCTCCTTTGTTTACCCTTCATATCCCTTCCCAGCCTCCCCCTGCCCCAATCCTCCCCCCCCCCCAAGCATGCTTTTTAACTATCACCACCACCCCTCCCCTGGAGCTGGGTCAGGGTTGACAACCGTAGAATGAGAAATGAATACCAGGCTTGAGTGTTGGTGGGACTCAAAGGGATTAAGAATGCCGGTGCCTCTAGGTTTCTAGCTTGGGGTGGGGGAATGGGGCTAGGTTAGTGGGGGTTTGGGCTGGAAATTTTGAGGTGATCTGGGGAAAGGTGGAGGCCAGAAGGTATCTCAGTACATCTGTCCAGAGGGCACTGGGGCTTTTGAACCTGTGGCTCCAGCCGCCTCCGCCACATCAGACCTTCCCAGGTTCCTAGCTGCGTTACAGCTCTGTTCTGGAAGATTTCACTTGCTTGTTTTTGTTTGGGGCTGTATCAGGGTTTGAACTTAGGACCTTGAGCTTGCTTTCTTGGGCTGGTGCTCTACCATTTAAACCACACCCCAGCCCAGCATTTTGCTGGAGTTCTCATGGACTTTTCTGCTAGGCCTGGCCTCAAACCTAGTTCCTCAAGATCTTGTTCTACTGAGTAGATAGGATTACAGGCATAAGCCACCGGCCTCTGGCCCCTTCTAGGTTTTTCTGAGAGCCACTACAGCTGGTGGGACCACAGCAGAGAAGTCACACCCCAAACCTTCTGATTGGCTATGGGGCCCTCTGAATACCAGGTCCAGGGTGGAGCCTGTCCCGGTTGCCCCATTCAGACTCAGAACCTGCGTCTCTGTCTCCCCGTTCTGGCATCATGGACCTAAGTCCACACATATCTCTCTGTGTCCTCTTGGGAGAACCTTTTGGGTTTATCTTTGCACCTGTGGGCAGGGATAGTTTTGAGGCCAGAATGGGCAGCTGCCTGCAGAACACAGGTCCCTGTGTGACACATGGCAGGCTGAGGTCCGGAGGGGCTTAGACCCCAGGGGTCTCTGAGGACAAAGCTGGTACCTTCTGTTACCCAGGACATTCCTCTTGCTGGCAAAGGGACTGCTAGAATATTCTCTGTGCACCCTTTCCCAGTCTCCCTGGCCTTCAGCCACCCAAAGGACCCAAGGTGCGGATGGCACATCTCAACCTGGCTGGCTGCCCAGGATGCCGTGTGCCTCAATCTCCCCCGGGAGGGCTTGGGCCTGGCATGGTCCAGGAGTATGGGGTTGCCCCTGTCTTGTCTATGGGTGGGCTTGGGGGAAGGGTGGCCACCTAGCAGCCTGGCCAGCAGATGCTGGTGAGAAGGAGGGTGCTTTTAGCTTTGGGGAGGAGGTGTGATTTTTAGACTTGGGGGGGTGTCCCCCAGCTGCCTTCAGCCACTCCATTGTGACTGTCTGTTGCTTGTAGTGGGTTCCACTTTGGGAGGATGAGGCCGGCCTCCTCTCAGCAGCCCTCTCTCCCTGCAGCCAGAGGGCCCTCCCTTAGCCCCTCATCCCCAGTCCTGGGGAAGAACCCAGCAGGAGGTGGCTGCTCCCCTGGGAAGTGAGCCCCAAGCTGGGCACTGGTGGCTCATGCCTGTAATCCCACTTACTCTGGAGGCTGAGATCTGAGGATCATAGTTTGAAGCCAGCCCAGAGAAGAAAGTCCATGAGACTCTTATTTCTAATTAACCACCAAAAAGCTAGACATGTTCATTACTGTTTTCATTTTCTTTTCTGTCTTGTCTCTTTTATCTGTCTTTGGGAGGGTGAGGGTAGGGGCACAGAGATGGAGGGATAAAGGGCGAACAGCAGTGGTGCTCACTAGACACTCTGTAGAAAATGTACTGTACAGTTTTTGGGTGGGGATGGAGGGAAAAACTGGGAAAAAGTGAGGGAAGGGGTGACATTGTCCAAAAAGAAATGTACTTTTTACTTGAGTTATGTAATTGTAACCCTTTTTTATAATAACAAAAAACTAAAAGAAAGCTGGAAGTAGAGCTGTGGCTCAAGTGGTAGAGCACCAGCCTTGAGGAAAAGACAGTACCTAGGCCCCGGTTTTTAAACCAGGACTGGAGAAGGAAGGCAGGAAGGAAGGGAGGGAGGCAGGGAGGGAGACAGGGAGGGAGGGAAGAAGGAAGGAAGGAGGGAAAGGAGGAAATGGAAAGGAAATGGGCCCCAAGTCCCCGTGGGAGAGGTGGCAGCCATGCCTGGGCAGAACTGGCTGACCCTGGCACCCTCCAGGCAGCCAGGGACGGCAGGACCACCAGCACCCAGGACGTGTGGATTTCCTACAGCTCATGCAGGGGCTGTGATATGGACACACCCTGGGCGAGGGCTAGGGCCGGCCCGGGCCATGGCAGTGTGCTTTGCCCCTCACACCTTCCAGAAGTGGGGGGCATCGGCCCAAGGTTGAAGCTGACCCCAGAGAGACTGGATCAGGCTGGTGTGGGCCTTGCTGACACCAGCATCCTGCTCACACTGGGTTTTTGAGGCTGGGCTGGGGGTACATGAGGATGACCCATGTCTGAGGGCTTGGGGGTCCCCTGGAAGATGAGCCTGGGAGCTCTGGGCTCCATTGTAAGACCATGGGGGAGCTAGGCTTGCTGCTTAAAACCCCAGCTCTAGGGAGGCCAAGGCAGGAGGATTGTGTTTGAGGCCAGGTTTGGTGACACCCTGAGACAGCTCAGAAAACACAAAGACCACTAGGCCTGGGGAGTACACAGCGCTGGCTTACAGGCCAGGGCCTGTGCCTCAAAGGGGTCAGATAGGCCCAGCTAACACACACCAGCCCAGCCATGACTCAGGCTTGGGGGCTACTGGTGGGGGACACCACCCCCCTCCATGACAGGGCAGCTGCCAGGAGAGGATCAGCAGCTGGGTCCCTGGCCTGGAGGAAGAGAACATCACCAGGCTCTCAGGCAAGGTTTCTCTGTCTTTTTTTTTTTTTTTTGGTCCGGTTGTGGGGCCTGAATTCTGGGCCTGGGTGCTGTCCCTCAGCTCTTCAGCTCAAGGCTAGCGCTCTACCACTTGAGCCACAGCACCACTTCCGGCTTTTTTCATTTTGCTTTATGTGGTGCTGAGGAATCAAACCCAGGGCCTCAGGCATGCAAGGCACGCACTCTACCACTGAGCCACCTTCCCAGCCCTCTCTGTCTTTTTTTGTGCTGGTACTTGCACTCGATATGGCTTACCTTTTTTGCTGAAGGTTGGCGCTCTACTACTTGAGCCACAGCTGCGCCTCTAGCTTCTTCCTGCATCATTGGAGATAATATGCTCTCACATTTTTCTGCCTGGGCTGGCTTCAAACTGTGATCCTCAGACAGCCTCCTGAGTAGCTGGGATTACAGGTGTGAGCCACCAGTGCCCTGCTTTGCATTGACATTTTTATCATTTATCATCCCAATTAATATATGCAGAAAAGAGACTGAGGCCCAGTGTGGGATGTCCTTAGCTCAAGTTTACCCCGACTCAAGCCAGACTGTCTTTGTCCCTGCTCACAGGCCCCCAGGAGGGAGGGAACAGCCAGCAGAGCTGTGCCCAGTGTACCTTCCTGTATACAGATGCTGGGCAGTTGGGGTATCAGTTCTGGAGGGATCCAGGGGTCCTGCACAGGCCCATTCATGTGCGCACACCCCTGGGTAGGCCAAAGACAGTGACGATGATGACGAGGTCACAGTCACCGTGGACCGGGATCGCTTCATGGATGAGTTCTTCGAGCAGGTAGGAGGGCCTGCCCTGTCTCCTCCCCAAGCTGGGCCTGCCTGCCCAGCCCTGGGCTCCCATGTGTGGGCATTTGGAGGGTGAACCAGTTGGGCGTGGTCACCCCTTCCCACCTGTCCTCTCCTGGAGCTTCCTGGGCTTTCCTCTGGGCCAGTCCTGGGACCACACAACCTGGCCTTGGTCCAGGTGGAGGAGATCCGGGGCTTCATCGACAAGATTGCTGAGAACGTGGAGGAGGTGAAGCGGAAGCACAGTGCCATCCTGGCCTCCCCTAACCCCGACGAGAGTGAGTAGGGGTCCAGGAGCCCTAAAGGGTACCCAGGCTGGTTGGGTCAGGGGAGGGTTCTGAGGGACCATCCAGGACTGAGGACAGTCACTGGTGGGACCCTGGTCTCATGCGGACTTGTGTGGGTGGGCCAGATGTGGTGGCAAGGCCTGTAAGCCCAGCTAAGTAGGAGGATCGTGGTGTGAGGCTGGGGCATAAACTTGAGAAAGAACTAAAGCAAAAAAGGCTGGGGACGTGGCTCAAGTGGTAAGTCTAATTCAAACACTAATTCTAGCAAAAGAAAGAAAGAGAGGAAAGGAAATAGAAGAGGGAGGCTTGGGGGGTCTCTTCCTGGCCCAAGTAGGGTCTGTAGCCTGCTTGGCCCCTTCCTTCCTCTGGGTTTTTCCTAAGGCTGGCTGCTGTCCAGGGAGGCCCTCTGGGAAGGAGAGGGAGGGGCTGGGAGGGGCCCTAGGGCCCCTCCCAGCTCCACCTCCCCAGGGAGCAGATGGTAGCTTTGAGGCAGCAACACTGTGGGAGGGCAGGCCGGCTGAGCAGGCAGAGCTTCCGGCAAGAGCTGGCAGCCCTGGCACCTGGCCACTTGGTACCCTGGAGCCAGGCATCCTCCCGGCTCCAGGAAGTCACCTCGCTCTGCCGGCTCAGGGAGCCTGTGTGGCCTAGGTTCCACTCTGTCCCAGCCCCCACATACATGCCACGTTGCTCTCCCAAGATGACTTGGTTGTTTACCCGCCCCCCCCCCTGCTGGTTGCAGACTTCATTGCAGCCCATCAGGGCCCAGGTTGTTTCCCTGGGGTACACTTTCTACTCTCCCGCGTGGCCCCCAAGCCACCCAGACACTTCACCTGTGCCCAGCACTATGCCCTGGGAAGGCAGGATGTAGTGTAGTTAGGGAGACACCAGGGTGCCTCCAGAGAGAGAATATGCCGGCTGGTATGATCCCCTTTGCCCCTATCCAGAGATGCCCCTGGTAGCCAGGCCTGTGGCGCGTCTGTGTGGCCCTGTGCAGGCTCTTCCCGCCGAGGCTAGGAGGTGGTGACTGAAGTGAGGTGGAAGGATTCAGCTTCTGGAGGGGGTGGGTAGGGTTGGGGGCAACAGAGCCCCTTGGCTTCCTTCCTTGGGGTTCCTCTGTGTCTTAAGCTGAGCAGGAGACCTGGCAGGGGGGAGGGTTGGGGCGGGGTGCTGCAGGCCAGAGTAGAGTCAAGGAGGGACCAGAAATCTGGTGGTAGGGTGCTTTCCCAGCCCAGGTGCTAGGCCTCCTCTGGGCCCGCCATCCGGCGGGGCTATTTTGTGTCTGAGCAAGGAAGGCTGAGATGAGAGCAGCTGGTAACCAAGCTGCCCTTGTTCTTGCTAAGAAGGTGGAACCCCCCCCCCCACTGCCTGTGGGAGGTGACCCTCCAGGCCCATCCCCAAGGCCAGCAGCCATGCCTCTCCCCAGCCACTTCAGGACTTGGTTTGTGGGGTGATGGTGGAAGGCTAGCCCTGGCTGATGGGGGGCATCTCAGAGACCACCTGGGAACACTGCAGCAGGGAGCAGCTGGCTCCCCTGAGGGAGAGGGGCCAGCTGGGCACCCCCTGGCCTCTGCCAGCTTAGTAAAAAGATGGCTTCAGTGGAATGTCAGGCCGCAACCCCCCTTCCCCTCCCTTGGCCCCAGCCACCTGCTACCTCAAGGGCCCACCTCTTTGAACTCCTTCTCCATCAGCTCTCAGCTGGTCTGGGTGCCGCCAGTCCCTGAGGAGGGGCAGGATAAGGTGCACCCCCTCTCTTCCAGTTCAGGGATCAGGGTGACTGCACTCTTGTCCCCCATCAGCCCATGGCTGGCTGCTCAGTCCCAGCCACCAGGTAAGGCCAGGTGAGCCCCACCTAGCCTGGCTCCAGCCAACAGCAAGTCAATGCCCCCAGCCTCCTGGCACCAACTCCAGTCTCACCAGCTGCTCCACAATTATTCTTGCCTTAAATTTAGACCCATCTGTGTTCTGCAGGGGGTGGGAGAGGCGGGAATGGGGAAGGAGCGGGGAGGGGGGATGTGGCTGCAGCTGGTGTGGCCCTGACCCAGATACGGGGCAGCAAGCAACCACTCAGCCAGGGCAGGACCCCATCCATCCAGTGCAGGAGGCAGAGCCTGACCATTAGGATAAGGGGCAAGGTACCCCAGTGCCTACACCACACCCCTTCTTCTTCCCCAGAGACAAAGGAGGAGCTGGAAGAACTCATGGCAGACATAAAGAAGACAGCAAACAAAGTTCGTTCTAAGTTAAAGAGTGAGTTGGGCTTTGGGCCATGCTTCTTCACTGTGGTTGGTTGAGGGTGGGAGACAGTCCCTGACCCCCGGGGCGATCCTGCCGTTTGGGTTCTAGGATAGGTGCTTGGGTACCAAAGGAGCATGGGAGCAGGTGAGGAGGGCTGGGATGTGGCTCCGTGGCAGTGCCCTGTCCACAGTGTCTGAGGTCCTGGGCTCCACCCTCCAAACAAGCTGGTGCCCGTGCAGTGGACATCTCAGCCGTGGGCCAGGTGTTGTGAAGGTGGTGGCTGCCTAGGAGCTCAGCCCTGTGCCCAGCCTTGCTGGGGCACGCAGCCAGCACACAGTAGGTTTGCCACCAGCACCCCCCCCCAACTCCCCCTGCCTCCCGGGGGAAGGCCTTCAGGGCTTGCCAGCTTGCCTTGCTTCCCGTGTGGCCCCCACAAGTCCCACACGGAGGCCCTCCCAGGGGAGCAAGGACTCTATCCCGGACTTGGGGGTGGGTGGGGATCTCCAGGGCTCAGCCGCTGCCTCCTCTAGGTATAGAGCAGAGCATCGAGCAGGAGGAAGGCCTGAACCGCTCTTCTGCGGACCTGAGGATCCGCAAGACACAGGTGCGCGGGCGTCTGGGGCGGGGACGCCCCCGAGCCTCTGGGGCTCCGTGAGGCCTGACAGCTGCATCCCTTGTCCCGGACTCCCAGCACTCCACGTTGTCCCGGAAGTTTGTGGAGGTCATGTCCGAGTACAACGCCACGCAGTCCGACTACCGCGAGCGCTGCAAGGGCCGCATTCAGAGGCAGCTGGAGATCAGTGAGCGGGGGTGGGGCCTGCCCGGAGGCGGGGCCTGCGGGGCGGGGCCGACAGGGCGGGGCGGGGTCTGCCGTGAGGCGGGACCGGGCCACTATGGTTAGGTTGCATGCTCAGCGTGGTCCCGTCCACAGCCGGCAGGACCACCACCAGTGAGGAGCTGGAGGACATGCTGGAGAGTGGGAACCCCGCCATCTTTGCTTCTGGGGTGAGTGTGGAGCCTGCTGCTGTGGCCTGCTAGCCATCCCTACCCCAAGGCTCCAGGGTATGGGGGAGAAGTGCTCGGTCAGGGCGGCAGCTGGACCTAGCCACCTATGAGACAGGTTTCAGATACAGCCGAGTCCCCAGAGGTGAGGTCACATGTTAGTTGCAAAGACCTATCTATGTCCCTGAGCCCAGCATGGTGGAGCACACCTGTAAGAGGATTCGAATTCAAGGTTAGCCCTGGCTACATAGTGAGACTTCCACAAACACCCACTGTGTTCCCAGTTTCTCCTAGGGGGCTCCACTTCTGTGCCATTGCTACCCCTGGGCCTTTGCTAATAACTGTCATTGGGGTCTTTTTCCCTCCTGGTAGACATACTGTATGGTACACTCCTGGAAGGCTCCAAGTTCTCCTGGCACAGGGGGCTCTTGGGTTTTTATTTTGAGACAGGGTTTTCTTTTGCAGCCCAGGCTGGTCCAGAACTTGAGATCCTTCCTTCTCAGCCTAAGTGCTGGCATTACAGCACTTAGGGTGCATTGCTGCACCCTGCTAGGGGATGCCTTATGTGATGGAGGTGGCCCATAGTTGTGGGTGGGGATTCCAAGAGGAGAGGAAGGGGGCAGTCATTGAATGATGGTAGTTCAAGGCCTGGGTCTATGGGGCTGCAGACACTGATGTTAAGAACTGTCTCATGGAATGGGAACTGTGGAACACGCACAGGTAAGTAGTTCCATGGAGAAATGGAGTTGAAGCTGAGCAGATGGGTGGAAGGACTGTGGCAGTTGGTATTAGAAATCTGCCATCCCAGTTGCCTTCCACCCTGGCCTTCTACCCTCCTCTCCCTGGGCCTGTGCCCTCCCCCTGGGCTGGCCTCTGGGTTCCAGCTCTCTGCTCCTTCCCCCAGATCATCGTGGACTCCAGCATCTCCAAGCAGGCTTTGAGTGAGATTGAGACTCGGCACAGTGAGATCATTAAGCTGGAGAGCAGCATCCGGGAGCTGCATGACATGTTCATGGACATGGCTATGCTTGTGGAGAGCCAGGTGAGCCCCAGGCCCCTCAGCCCCAGCCTCCACCACACCTGGGGCTGCATTAACCCCCTCCCTTTCTGCCCAACATGCTGCTCGGCCTGGGAGGGACTGAGCCCTCAGGTAACCAACCAAACACTTGCCCACCTGTGGCACCACTCTGAATGGCTCTGCTTGGTCCTGCATGGTACCCCACCCTGATGTCTGTTCTCTGACCCCACTGCTCTGCTAGGGCCTCCAAGATAGAATGATGAGGTCAGCAGAGGGGCCTGGAGCAGATCATTGTGTTCAAGGGCAGCATCAGTAAAGAAAGGGGTCAGTATTTTGTGGTGGTGCATGTGAGTAATACCAGCTACTCAGGAGGCTGAGGCAGGAGAATCCCACAGAGGCCTATCTGGGCAAGTTAGTGAGACAGCAGGAAAGACCGTGAGGCTTTTATCTCTAGTTAAGCATCAAAAGGTGGAAATAGAGCTGTGGTTCAAATGGTAGAACACCATCCTTTTAGAAAAAATGTGAGGGAGCATGGGAGGCCCTGAATTCAAGCCCCAGTACTGGCACAGGGGCTTGAGTGCTGCCCTGACAGCGGATGTGGAAAGCAGCCAACTTCCAGGGAAGGTGGAGCAAATGCCCGGGGCCCTGGTCAGGTAGCTGGCTTTACTTGAGGGGGATAAGTGATCAGTGGCTGGACCTCAGGGTATGGGTGGGCCCAAGGTGAGGTCAGCTGAGGGAGGTGAAATCCACAAGGCCTTCGTTAGTGGCCTTTGTTTTGGTTCGTTATGGGGCTTGAACTCTGGGCCTGGGCGCTGTCCCTCAGCTCCTCAGCTCAAGGCTAGTGCTCTACCACTTGACCCACAGCACTACTTCCAGCCTTTTCTGTTTTCTGAATTGAACCCAGGGCCTCATGCATGCGAGGCAGTCTCCCACTGAGCCACCTTCCCAGCCCTGGTCAGTGGCTTTGAGTACCTGAAAGCATTTACTTTTTTGTTGGTCCAGGGTTTGGGCACTGTCCCTGGGCTCTTTTGCTCAAGGCTAGCAAGCTACCATTTTGAGGCACAATACCATTTCCATCTATTTTCTTTGTTTTTTATAAGTGGCTCCTTGGAGATAAGAGTCTCATGGGGACTTTTCTGCCCAGGCTGACTTCAAACCAGTCCTCAGATCTCAGCTTCTTGAGTAGCTAGGATGACAGGTGTGAGCCACTGGCGTCCAGCTCACTTCTGGTTTTTGTGACAGGATCTTGCCATGTAGCTCAGGCTGGACTTGAGCTCTCAATCATCTTGCTTCAGGATTACAGGTGTGAAGCACCACACCAAGTCAGTGGGGGCTTTGGGGCATGGTGGAGGTAGGACTTAGGAAGCAGGGAGGCTGGAGGAAGCTGTCATGCCCAGTGAGACACACTGGTGACCTGGACAAGAGTGAAGGCATTGGATATACTAGGAGTCTGTGGGCAGTGCCAAGACTGGACAGGCCTCCAGGGGGATCATGGGACCATGATGGCCGCAGAGGTGGGCAAGAGAGGCTTAGGGGAGTCAGCCAGCCAAAGCTCAATGGAATCATTGTGCCTCAGGGTGACAGGAACATAATGATGTGATCCCATAAGCTGTGGACAGGGAAGGCTTAGCCTCACCTGCTGGCCCTGGGGGGTCAGGGCCCAGTTGCCGCCCTCTGCATGCCTCCCCCCATCCCCAGCCTGCATGGCCAATGCCACCCCAAGATGGTTGCTGGGAGGGGAAACAACGGAGCCTGTGGTTGTCAGCTCAGCTGAGAAGCTATATCCTGGGGCTGGGGCTGGGAAGGTGGCTCAGTGGTAGAGCGCTTGCCTTGCATGCATGAGGCTCTGGGTTCGATTCCTCAGCACCACAGAAGCAAAAAGAAAAAAGCCGGAAGTGGCACTGTGGTTCAAGTGGTAGAGCGCTTGGCTTGAGCTGAAGAGCTGAGGGACAGAGCCCAGGCCGAGTTCAGGCCCCACGACTGACAAAAACAAAACACCCAGCACCATGCCCACCTCTCACACCTTATTTTCCTGACTTCAGGTGCTGGCATGCCAGCCCTGCCCTGCCCTGCCCTGAGGAGCCAGCCCTGGAGCCACCACTCGGGCCTTGCAGGGGGAGATGATCGACAGGATCGAGTATAATGTGGAGCACGCTGTGGACTACGTGGAGCGGGCTGTGTCTGACACCAAGAAGGCCGTCAAGTACCAGAGCAAAGCGCGCCGGGTCAGTGTGCTGCCCAGCCCTGGCCGGTGGGCGTCCCTCCCCTCTGCCTGGCCAGGAGCTTCAACCCTTCTTTGTGTGTGTGTGCCAATAGTGGGGCTTGAACTCAAGGCTATCCCTGAGCTTTTTTACTCAAGGCTAGCACTCTGCCACTTGAGTCACAATTCCACTCCCTGGGCTGGCTTTGAATCATCATCCTTAGATCTCAGCCCAGGAGTAAGCTACCAGCACCAGGTACAACCCTCACTTTTACTTTGAGGTGCTGGTGTTATAACCGTCTCAGTCCCCCCCTGCCTGAGGGCCTCCCTACCTCTCAGTCCTCCCTGCCTGAGGTCCCCCAGCTCTGCCTGAGGCCTGCCCTCCCCACCCTCTGTCTGCAGAAGAAGATCATGATCATCGTGTGCTGTGTGATCCTGGGCATCGTCATTGCCTCCACCTTTGGGGGCATCTTCGCATAGGGCTGCTTGCCTGCCACGCTACCCTGGACAGCTCACCCAAGGCGGTCTGACCACGGGCCCTCTCTACCCACCTCACCTCTGGCTTGGAGCAACCCACTGCCCCCCTTTGCCCAAGCTGTGTTGTGTGCATGATCTTGTGACTGTGTGTCTGTGCAGAGGCGCAGCTGGGGCTGTGTGGGGCAGCCCCGTCCTCCCCCAGGCTGCCCTCCCTAGCCAGGCAGGGCTGGCCCATGGGCATGTTAGCAGTCCTCAGGCTTGGGTCCACCCTGACTTGGTGCCCAGGCTTTCTGGACCCCAACCTTGCTTCTACCCCTCCTACCCTGGCCTTTTCAACTGTTTTTCCCACCCAGCCTTCCGGAGCGCGGCCCAGCTGGCCTCATGGTGCTGCTTTTTCTGGCTGGGGGAGGGGGTGGCCCCAAAAGCTCTAGCACCAAGCCTCTGCCAGCTGCCACTGTCATGAGGCTCAGGGGTGCTGTTGCTGGCCTGTCAGGACTAAGCTCCTCCTCCTCCTGGGCCAAGCCTCTGGCTCTCATCTCCCTTCCCAGGGCCCAGGAACAACCCCAGGGTGAGGCCTGAGCTGGGGTGGGGTCTGGGAAGGCTGCAGCCTGGGCCAGTGTTGCGCCTTTGGGGATGCTGGCCCCGGGTGTCTTGCCAGGCCTGGTCTTGCCCTGCCCTCGCCATTGATGTGTCAGTGCCATGTGGCTTCAGGTGTCCTGGATGCAGTATTAAGCAGCCAGTCAGGGAGTGCCCCCATCCTGGGGCTCCTAGTTCAAATGTGCCCCAACCCCAGGTCCCCTCTTCCTTGACAGGCTAGGAGTCTGCATGCGCCCGCATGCAGGGGGACTGGCCATGCCCAGGCCACCGCCCTCAGCTTTGCTCCTGCCTGGTGCCTGTGACCACTGTCCGTGTTGCCTTCTCTGCCCTCCCCTGCCACCTCCACCAAAGGTCTTGGTACAACCAGCTGCCCATTTTGTGAATTTTTATGTAGAATAAACATTTGTATCTGTAGCTGCCTCTGGGTGATCCTTCTGTCTGCAGCAGCCTCGCCTCAGGACTTGGGGATAATATGACGGAGAGCCTGACTGCTCCCAACACACACGCACATATACCTGTGCCTTCCAGTTCCTGCCTCGGCCTGCCCTGTCCCCTCGAGTCTTAGTTGTGTTCCATGCCATCCTGTACTACCATGTGACTTTGTGCTCCTTGTCCTGGCAAGCTAATGTCTATGCCTCCTGGACAGGCTGCCCCTCACCCCACCACCTGTGGTTGTGGGTACCTCCCACCCAAGGCCACTAACACCCGACCATGCTTCCCCACTTGTGGTTAATGGTTAGAGGAGAGACACCCAGTCCTGCGACACCTGCCTGTGGCTGGGAAGAAAGCTCTTGTCCAGTACAGATTTGTTTTTGTTGTCGTGGGAGCCACACAGTGGTCCACAAAAAGTCATTTATTCCTTCCAGAATAAAATCAGATGTCCTCAGTGCTTCTGCAGAGATGAGAACATGCTGAGCACTGCAGAGCTCTTGGCAGCCTCTGGGTAGCCGTGGTCGGTGGCCCCACAGAGTGGCATGGGACCCTTCAGAAGCGAGGCCTGCGCTTGCGGCCCGTGTACTGCGTGTTGGGCCTGACTTCCCTGTGGAAGACAGCGTTAAGTGGGGCACCCTGCCTGCAGCCAGGCCCCTGTGGCCCTGTGCCCGCCCTGCTGGGCCTTGCACATACTTGCCCTGGCGCTGCCGGCGCGCCTTCTTCTCCAGCACCCACTCGCGGCTCTTTCTCACCATGGCCCGACGTGAGGTCCTGTGCGGAAGCCTGGCCCAGAGATGTAGCTGTGAGATCAGGGGAGGGCTTGGGACCCCTCTTCTTCCCAGGGCCCTGATTCCCCCCTGTGCAGCCTCCAGGAGGGGCAAGGCAGCTGGGGCAGGGCTCTCCTGGCACCCACTGGTGTGCGAGGCAGGAAAACGGGGCCGCCGGCTCATGGCGGGCCCAACGAGCATCCTCAAGCCTAATCTGGGCCTCCTGCTCTGGCTGAGGGGACAGGGGACCCCTGACAGCACATGGGAGGGCAGCCCTGGGCTCCAGGCACCCATCTGTCTAGGGCTAGCATGAGTGGGGGGTGGGAAGGCTGGCAAGGCCCAGGCCCACACCCACGGGGGAAGGGGCAGGTGTGAGGCCCCACCATGCAGGGGGCAGGGAGAGGGCGGTGGCGGGAAGCTCTCTGTGGGTGATACATGTGTGGGGAGGCGGGAGCCAGGTGGCAGCATGAGGAAACATGCGGACAGACTAAGGGAGACAGGTGAAAGCTACAGTGCCTGCCGCTCCCGACAGTGTTGGGAAGGAAGCCAGGGTGTTACTATGTAGCTGGAGCTGGCCTTGAACTTGAGATTGCCCTGCCTGAGCCACATCATCCTGTGACCCGCTTCTCTGGAAGGCCCCCAGTCCCGTGAGCCACATCCCTGGAACTAGATGCAGACTCCCTCTGCGCCCACGCTGGCACTTGGCACCCTTCACCCACAGCCCTCCTGTCCCAGGGGCGGCCTCACCTCTGGTGAGTGAATGCCGACTCCGTGGCCTGCTCGGCATCTTGGTTTTCTGTCAGCCCCTGTGGGACACAGAGTGCTCTAGGAGCCCCATCTACCCCCACCTGGGTGTCCGACCAGCAGGCTCAGGCCTGGGTCCCCCACCAGGCATTGCTTCCGACTGTGGCACAGAGGTCCTGCACTAGCCGCACCCCCGCCCCAGCCGAAAACCCAGGGCCCCTCACCTTCGGCAGAGAAGTTGAAGGCCCAGAAAACAGGCAGAGGTAGAACCTGGAAGCAGAGCGCAGCCTTAGGCCTTCTAGGTCTGGGCCAGACCCTGAAGCCCCGCCTACTCCCTGGCTCCCCCAGACCCAGGTGGTCCACACTCCCACCTAGGTCCTCTGAGGCTCCACCCACATGGGGGCAGAGCCCTGCTCTGGGGTCTGTACTCACTTCTTTGCTCGGGCACTGTTGGGGTAGTCTACCACCACGCCGCCCGTGAAGCCGGCCTTCGTGGCCTGTGTCGTGATCAGCTCCAACTGCGAGGACGAGGGCAGGAGTTGGCAGAGAGGTGGAGGCAGAAGCTTTGCCCCCCTCTTTGGGAAGCCGGGCGTGGCCCCGGGCTGCCTCTGAAGTGGACACCCATGTCCTTCCTCATGAGACCCCACAATGGAGCCTGCACAGTGGTCACCAGTCTCTCAAGTCCCTCCCGAGCTCAAATAATTGCTCGATGACTGCCCAGGGCCTCTGCACGCCCATTTATGTACTGGATTCTCCAAATGAGTCCCATCCTGGAAGTCACGAGGTCCAACATGGCCTTGGCATTCACCTATATGCAGGGCAGGGGAGTGAGGAAGCCAGCGCCTCCCCTCTCCCTTTCCCCACACTTCTAAGCAGCCAAAAGGCTTACCTGCTCTGAGTTCTCAGGGTATAGCTGTAGGATCGCTCGGGCTCCTCGGACCTGCAAGCAACAGAAATGTCATGACCTCCCTGGCCTTGGGTATCCAGATCGGGACTCTTCACCCCTCCTTCCACCACTGAATACAAATGGAGCCCTGCCACAGGACCTCCATACTAGGAGCAGGGCCATTTCAGGGATGGACAGTTCTACCCTGAGGGCCAGGCCACAGGGCAGGGCTGGCTCAGTGGGTCCTCTCTGAGGTCCTGAGCAGACCTGAAGGATGAGGGAGAGCTGGAGGTGGCATAGGGTAAGAAGAAGAGCAGAAGAGCAGAGAAGGGAGATAGGAACATCCAGAGACTTCAAACAAGGAGAAATGTATATTTTGATCTCAATGAGAACTGCAACCACTGGGTGCTGTGGCTCACTCTTGTAATCCTAGCTACTTAGGAGGCTGACAATGAGACCTGAAGATCAAAATTTGAAGGCAGCCAGGCCACTAAAGTCCAATTATTCAGGAAAAGACTGGACTTGAGGTGTGACTCAAGTGGTAGAATGCCAGCTGTGAACATAAAAAGCCAACAGAGAGCATGAGGCTCTAAGTTCAAGTCCCAGTATTCTCTCTCTCTTAACCCCTGCTCCCCCACCCCTTCCGCACAAAATAAATCAATCAACCCAGGTACCATGGCTCATGCCTATAATCCTAGCTACTCAGGAGGCTGAGATCTGAGGATTAATGTTTGAAGCTTGCTGGGAAGGAAAGTCCATAAGACTCTTATCTCCAATAACCTACTCAGAAAAAGTGGAAGTAGTACTGTGGCTCAAGTGGTAACAGGCTAGCCTTGAGCACCAAGAGGCTCAAGGAGGGCACCGAATCACTGAATTCAAACCCCAGGACTGGCAAAACAAAACAAAACTGGAGCCGATGCTTCCAAGTACAAAAACAAGAGACAGGGACTGGGAAGGTGGCTCAGTGGTAGAGCGCTTGCCTTGCATGCATGAGGCCCTGGGTCCCATTCCTCAACACCCACACAAGCAGAAAAAAAAAAGCCGGAGGTGGCGCTGTGGCTCAAATGGTAGAGTGCTAGCCTTGAGCTGAAGAGCTGAGGGACAGCACCCAGGCCCAGAGTTCGGGCCCATGACTGGACCAAAAAAAAAAAAAAAAACCCACAAAACAAGAGGCAGCATATTCATTATGGCTCTGGTAAACCTCGGGCTGTCCTGTCCTGAGGTGGGAGGTCCAGATCATGTCCTCTCAGGGCTAGATGCAATGCCTCTGTCCCAAACCAACTTACAGATAAAATGGAGCAGAAAATGGGGGAGTGCTGACAGGCCTGGAATCCTAGCACTCAGGAGGCTGAGGGGAAACTTAAGTTCTAGGTCAGTATATAGCTGGCTGTCTCAAAAAAGAAATCAATCCAAACCAAAAAAGCCAGGCAAGGATGCGAAACTGTGATCCCAGCCCTCAGGAGGATGGCGAATTCAAATTCCAGACTAGCTTGGACTATAGAACCAGACCCCGTCTCAGAAAAACAAAACCAAAAAGCAGAAGAGAGCTCAGAAACTAAGGTCATCAGAAGTGACCTAGTTCCAGGTTAAAATACTGTTTGCAGACAGCACATTCCAGCTTCCAGAAGTACCCACACGCTTCCTGGACTTCTATGAGGCCGAGCCTCAGACCGAGCAGCCGTAGGGAGGTCCTGTTAAAGTGCTTATGAAGGGACCCCTTCACAACCTGAAGGGCAGGAGAAGAGACCCCATACTCACAAGAACAGAATAGAGAGTAGTAAAGAAGCAGTACAGGCGCTTGGCAGGGATTTGAGTCTTCTTGTTGGCATTACAGAGCCACTGCACTGCAGAGATGCTAGAAAGGAGGAGAGGGACATGGTCAGGGTCAGGAGTGCCCAGCCTTCCCCACCCATGCTGAAGGATCTGCCCCCAGCTCTTCCTCTAATGCCCAGGGCACACACAGGGTGGCACTCAGTCTGAGTCAGCACAGGGGATCCTGGATGCTACCAGCATCTCCTATGTGTCTAGGCTGTGTGTGCCCCTGCCCCTGCACTTCCATCTATCAAATGAAACCCCTGGGCAGCCCTTACCCGGTACCGCTCACAAACCTCCTTCACCTGCGATGAAGGCATCAAATCCTCACGAGGCACTATGTCCTCTGGTCTGTGCATTCAGCCTCAGGACCCCATGTCTCACTGGGTGGGGCCTGCCTCCCTCTCCCCAGCTTTTGCTTCCTCCCCACTGCCTCAGTACCCACTATCCTCTCAATGTGACACCAACCACCAGGTGCTCTGCAAATCCACCTGGAAACAGCCTTCCTAAAACAGTTAACATCATCACCCCCAGCTCCCTAAACCAGTGCCGGAACCTGGCAGCAGAGGATGACCTCAGAACTAGAGAGGTTTTGGGGTTTTCTTTTCTGTTTTTTGCTAGGGATGAGACTTGAACTCAGGGCCTCTTGCTGGGTCTTTACTACTTAGTGCTAGCACTCTATCACCTGAGTCACATCTCTAGTCCAGAGTAGGTGGTTTTGACATACTTTCGACATTGTGTGTGTGTGTGTGTGGTGGGGGGTGCCTTATCTGTCCAATAAGTCTGCACATCTCAGGAGAGGTATTTTTTTTGTTTTGGTTGGTCATGGGGCTTGAATTCAGGGCCTAAGCACTGTCCCCGAGCATTTTTGCTCAAAGCTAGCACTCTACCACTTTGAGCCACAGCATCACTTCTAAGAGAGGAACATTTTTCAGCATCCTGTGTAACTGCTTCACAGCCAGGTTTGGGAAGCAGTGGCCTAAAGATTAAGAGCAGGAAGTGAATACACTCACCTGATGCAGCCATCAAAGGAACCTGGTTTGAAAGGGAGACCCTGGCCCATATCCCCCAGAAGCAGGTCTCCCTCTGTGTCACGGTCCAAGGCTGCATCTACGGCAGAGATGAGAATAGGAAGGCATGGTATAAGGACGGCTATGCACTCCTGAGTGTGGTGGGCAGAGTACATCACAAGGTATACTCACCCAGCATGGACGAGCTGATGTCAATGCCCACCCAGTAGTGTCCTGACTCTGAGAGGTGATCTCCACTCAGCCCAGACCCACAGCTGGAAAACACAATCACATAGCGCTCCAGTGGTGAGTACAGAGAAGCTCCATACCACCAAAGTAATCGTAGCCAGGCCTCACATCTCACCCAATATCCAACAGGTAGCAGGGCTGACCCTCAGGCAGACAAAGGAGCTCCAGGGCTCGCTCAGCCATCTTGGTCTGGACATCAATCATCCGAGAGCTGGGAAGGCAAAAACACAAGCTAGTAGAAAAGTAGTTCTGGGGTAATCTTTCTTCTAGAACAACAACAATAATCCAAGAGAAGAAAAAAATGTCAGCCAGGGTCCTCTTTTCTGACTCTTTTACCTAGTAATTCTAATATGAGATTAACAAACTCAACTGTAATTATTTAAAAGAAGCCACGCATGTTGGCTTATGAAGGTAATCTCAGCTACTTGGTAAACAAACGCAAAAAGTTAATGAGATTCAAAGACATGCCTGTAATCCCAGCTACCTGGGAGGCAGAGGCAGCAGGCTTGAGGTCTGAGGCAAGATTAAAACTAAAGCAAAAAGGTCTGAAGACATGGCTCAAGTAGATCCCAAGATAAGAAAGGGAAAGAGAAGAGCTCTAAGTTCAAATTTTAGTACTTTCCCAAATCCCAAAGAAAATCTCACACACACAATAATCATGCAAAATAGTTTCAAAACACCAGACACAGCTGTGCAGCTAGAAGAAAGATTATTTTGTTGACCCTGTTTGGATCTCCAATTTGAACAGAAATGAGAGACTGAGTATGTATACAATTTTCTACATAGTAATATATATAGAAAGGGTAGACTTAAAAGTTGCTGCTCAAGTCTTTCTGTCACATGGCTTTATATACATAACTATCCTTTATGAAATTCTGACAATATGCAGCCAGTTATGGTGAATATTTAGTGTTATTGTAAATAGGGTAACATGATAAGCCTATGTTTTCTTTCTTTTTTCTTGGGTCCAGTCGTGGGCCTGAACTCTGGGCCTGGCACTGTCCCTCAGCAATTCAGCTCAAGGCTAGTGCTCTACCACTTGAGCCACAGTGCCACTTCTGGCTTTTTTCTTTTTGCTTATGTGGTGCTGAGGAATCAAACCCAGGGCCTTAAGCATGCAAGGCAAGTGCTCTACCACTGAGCCACCTTCCCAGCCCAGCTTTCTTTCTTTAGTTACTAAGTTGTTGTAAATAACAGTTTCAAGCTGGGTGTTGGTGGCTCACGCCTGTTATCCTAGCTACTCAGGAGGCTGAGATCTGAGGATTGCAGTTTGAAGCCAGCCCAGGCAGAAAAGTCCATGAGACTCTTAGCACCAATGAATTATTCAGAAAAAGCTGGAAGTGGCGCTGTGGCTCAAGTGGCAGAGTACTAGTCTTGAGCACAAAGAAGCTATGGGACAGCACCCACGTCTTGAATTCAAGCCCCAGGACCGGCCAAACAACAACAACAAAAAGTTTCAATTCCCTAAGTCAGATAAGTACAACGCTTCTTGATCAATATAACCTCTTCCATTGTTCTCCCCCATTTCCCCGTACCATCTCATCACTACCCTCAAGTTACATAGTTCAGTTTTTACAAATGTACACCGAATATAATGGCTACATTATATTGGCAGTCCTGGGGGGGGGGTTGAACCACCGGAACCCCGTCCCCAACCTCTAGTTTACTATTCTTGGAACAAGTTATGCCACTGAACGTTGAAAACCACCCGAGTCCCTACAACTAACTTTACCAGTGGTAGCCACAGACCTGACCCAGGGACTTTCCTTCCCCCACCCCCAAAATGCTACACGCTTTCCCAGGGTGCACATGATCCGGAAGACTTGCCGGTCCCCTGGACTGGCGCCCCGAAGCCCCGACACCAGCAGTCTGCTCACTTGCGGACGTATTTCTGGGCTTCATTTTCGTCGTAAAACTGCAGGAAAGAAAGAAATGGCAGGTGGAGGGAAGCTTCCAGACGCATCAGGCCTAGAGTAGAATGGGGGTCTCCGAGGGCCTTCAGGTACTCACCAACTCCGGGGGACCGCGATGCTCCGGCCGGCGGCTCCGACACGCCATCGTGCACAGTGGCGGGCGCACCTTCCGGAACCGGGTTTTTACGTCATTACTCCCGCGACCGCTCCTTAACGCGCATGCTCTACTTTCTGTCCCCGCCTTCGCTCCTAGTAGATTGGTTACTGGGGCCGACGCCCTGACAACCACTTGCGGCTCCTATTGGAGCGGCCCGTCCGCCTCTCAAGATGGCGGCCACGCAGAGACTGAAGTGGTCGCGGCTGTTGCTCCCGGGTAGGTGGCCGTCCCCCAGGCTCTCCGCGGCCCCGGCCCCCGGCTCCCGGGTGTGGGCGAGCACGTACTCCCGCACGGCGCTCTACGACCTGCTCGGCGTCCCCGCCACCGCCTCGCAGGCGCAGATAAAGGCGGCGTACTACCGGCAGAGCTTCCTCTACCACCCGGACCGCAACTCGGGGAGCAGCGAGGCCGCCGAGCGTTTCTCGCGCATCGCCCAGGCCTACCTGGTGCTGGGAAGCGCCACCCTGCGTCGCAAGTACGACCGCGGGCTGCTCACCGACGAGGACCTGCGCGGGCCGGGGGTGCGGCCCTCCCGGGTGTCGGCGGCAGACCCCGACCCGCCCTGCGCCCCACCGCCCGCCGCCTCGGCCGGCCGGGCCCGCGCTCGGGACGGACGCCGCTCCGCGTCGGATGCCCATCGCACCATGTTCGACTTCGACGCCTTCTACCAGGCGCACTACGGAGAGCAGCTGGAGCGCGAACGGCGCCTCCGGGCCCGCCGGGAAGCCCTGCGTAAACTCCAGGAAGAGCGGGCCAAGAGGGGCTTCCGCTGGGACGAGACCCGAGACCTGTCTTTGATTCTCCTTTTCCTTGCCCTCTTCGCCATCTTCGGCTTTCGGGTTTAACCGGAGAAGGGAGGGTAAAAAGGAGCCACCCCAGCCAGCCCGCACAAGAGACCGGCCTGCATGTACTACCTCTGCTGGGGTGTGAAGAAACCGCACTCCTACGCCCTGCCCTCCTGCTCCACACAGCCAAGAACCGTTCTAGGAAGGAAGTGTTTCCATGCCCTAAGGTGGGGGGTGGAGAGGGCTTCCTAACGGACGGAGAGTCCTGAAATCCCATGATGAAGGGTTTTCCGGGGTCCCTGCTTCTACAGGTTGCCTTCTGCTTCAGCCTGCAGAACAACTTGCTGAGGCTTCATTGGAAAATCTCAGCAAGACTTGTCTGCCTTTGGGCCTACAGTATTTGTCCCTTGTGGCCAAAACCGTGCAATATTTTCTCTGACGTAGTTGGCTGCCAAAAGAACAATCCTGGGGTTGCCCAAACTTTGCCTTTCTATCCATTTCTGAATCCACAGGTGAGAGCTGACTGACCCAGGATAAGAATGTGGTCCTGGAAAGCACTGCTATTTGTTTTGGGTTGCCGCACGGCTCTCCTTTCTGTCTGTGGCAGTGGGAACTGGGAAAACAAGGTCATCTGGCATAAGGAGTATGCCATTTTGTGTACCTCATGAATGACCTTGGCTGCTCTGTGGTTGTCACAGGCAGAGGTTAATCATTTGCTGCCTTGCGGCCTGTCACACTTTACTACAGTCCAGAGTTTCCATCCCATGCAATTATTTACATAGTATAATCTCAGCTGAGCCGGGAAGTGTGCTTGTCACTTCTCTTCCCTGTACTAGCCACCCCCATCCCTAACTGCCGACTGTCACACAGCACTTGTAGCTGTCACAGTAAACGCAGTCATTGGGAGACTTTACAGGTAGATGAAGAATTCTAGGCCACGGCTGGGAATGTGGCTTAGTGGTAGAGTTCTTGCCTAACATGCATGAAGCCCTGGGATTGATTCCTCAGTACCACATGCACAGGAAAAGCCAGGAGTGGAGCTGTGGCTCAAGTGGTAGAGTGTTAGCCTTGAGCAAAAGAAGTCCAGGGACAGTGCTCAGGCTCTGAGTTCAAGCCCCAGGACTTGCGTCGTGCTTGTGTGTGTGCATACACAAAATTCCAGGCCAGCCTAGGACAAAGGAAGGAAAGGGAAAGGAAAGGGAGAGAAAGGAAAGGAAGTAGATGGGCTCAGAGCTCAGATGGACTTAGGTGTGGCAAAGTTCACAAGCACCACAAGCCATGTCCTTGGAACTCTGCAAGTTTAGTGTAGCTAGTGTTGCTGAGCAACCACCTGGTGGTCCAAGAGAGAGAGGGTTCCTTTGTAGTACTGACTAAAAGGCTGCTGTAGGTTTCCAAAGGGAAGCCCCCTGGGCCTTATGGTAGCTTACACCTGTTAAGTTCAGGAAAGGGAACTTATCTTAAGCCAGTCAAAGTTAGTGCAAGACCCTAGTTTTAAAACTAAAAGCAAAAGGACTAGGGAGCTGGGGAGGTGACTCAGTGGTAAAGTGCTTGCCTTGCATGCATGAGCCCCTGGGTTCGATTCCTCAGCACCACATAAGCAGAAAAGGCCGGAAGTGGTGCTGTGGCTCAAATGGTAGAGTGCTAGCCTTGAGCTGAAGAGTGGAGGGATTGCTCCCAGGCCCAGAGTTCAGGCCCCACGACCGACAAAAAAAAAAAAAGTGTAAGTGTGGCTGCAGTAGTAGATCAAGAGGCTCTGAGTTCAGTTCCCAGTGCCACATATGTGCATACTTGCACAAAGAAGAAACACCTTGCACGAGGTCTTCAGTAAGGATGGTGGCCCATGTCAAGGATGTAAACAAAGCCAGGGGGCTTTGATGTGTTAATAGGAGTTTTTACTCTTGATATGTTGTGCCAGATCCTTGTACAAATTAAGATAAATCCACTGCTAGTCCAGCTTGGTCTCATGAAAACCATTGATCACTGTCTCTGTCTCTCTTATGGAGTGGGGGGTGGTTAAGCTCCTAGCCACCTGCTATGCAATTCCACAGTGAGGATCTGATACCCCCCCTAGTTTAGAAGTGGTAGGTTCAGGGAGCCTTGGTTTGGGGGTAAGGGAGATATATGCTTCTTAAAAAAGCATTTAATATTATTGTCTTTCATATTTGGAAAAGGTAGTAAGCTAAGCTTTGCAAAATGGACAGAAATCAGTGATTTCTCAAACCAAGAAACTAAGGTGTGAACTGGGCCTGACAGCACACACCTGTAATATAAGCAACTTGATAGACTGAGGCAGAAGGATCTCAAGTTCCACACCAGTCTGGACTACAAAAATAAAAAGGAGGGCTCCTTTTGTTCTTGGTTTGTAAAAGCACTCATGGTCCCATTGACCAAGTCTGCTGTCAGTGTAAACTACAGCCAAGAATGTCCCCTGTGGCCTCCTACCTGTAGGTATATAGGAAGTTCCAGAAGCCTTCAAACTGGGGTGCCTGTCCAGATGAAGTGAAATTTCTGGAACATGCCAAACATCCCATGCAAATTGAAGCAGAGTAGTCCATATTTATTAATTACCATCTGACTTCAAGCCTGTTCCACCACCCAGAACTAGGTCTGTTCTACTCTGGTGTTGGGCCATAGCTGACCCCTTAGGACAGGACTTCCTGCCCTGAGACGTTTGAAGGACCCAGTTTCCACAGTAATGTATTTCCCCACCTCTCTAGGCATCCTTGATCTTCTACCCACCCTAGGAAACAGTGAGTTGGGCATGGGCTCCTTCTCTCTAGGGGCTATCATCTACCTCCTGGTAATGGAGGAATTGGGGCAGGGAAGGAGCTGAAAAGTACAGAAGGAGGCTGAGTGAATGTGGGCATGCTTCCTGGGGGGATGGGGGTGGAGATGGGGCACAGGTAACAGGACCCAAACACACAGGTCGGGGGATTGTGTTGTCTTTGGACTCAAGACTTCATGCCTCTTGAGCCAAACTGCTTTTCCCTCCTTGCTCTTCATTTGTGGTTCTTGGCAGAGCCCCAGTGTGGATGGAGTAGGACATCTTCCCTGGATTCCTTCCCTGCCATCCTGTGGCCTCCGGCCTGGTCCCAGCACGAGCTGAGATGATCACCAAGAGCCCGTCCCTCCAGGGCTGTGCCTCCAGTGTATGGCACTCGCTAGGCAAGCCCTAGGCCCTGAATTGAATGTCCAGTTCCATAGTAAGATGTAAATATCGGCAGGGAGTTGCAGTGTCTCCCTGTAATCTCAACACTCTGGAGGGGGAGGCAGGAGGACTGACAAGGCCTGCTCAGGCAAAAGAAATAAGTCTACTTCAGAAACAAAACACAAAAGGGCTGGAGGTTGGGCTGGGAAGGTGGCTCAGTGGTAGAGTGCTTGCCTACCATGCATGAAGCTCTGGGCTCGATTCCTCAGTACCACATAAACAGAAAAAGCCAGAAGCGGTGCTGTGGCTCAAGAGGTAAGAGTGCTAGAGCCTTGAGCAAAATAAGCTCAAGGACAGTGTCCAGGCCCTCGAGTTCAAGCCCCAGAACTGCACAAAGGGGCTGGAGGGCTAAGAAGTTGGCTCAGTGGTAGAGTGCTTGCTTTGCATGCATAAGGCCCTAGGTTCAATTCCTCAGCACCACATAAACAGAAAAAAGCTGGAAGTGGTGCTGTGGCTCAAGTGGTAGGGTGCTAGCCTTGAGCTGAAGAGCTCAGGGACAGCATTCAGGACCAGAGTTCAGCCCCCAGGACACACACGGACACACACGCACGCACACACGTATGCGCACGCGCGTGGCTGGAGATGTGGCTCAAGTGGAAGAGCACTTACCTAGCTAGCAGGAGACACCCCCCTGTATTAGCAGTGAAATGAAAAAACAGCTCTTCTATGCCAACAAGTGTCACTGTCCTGACTGACTTCTCAGAAGGTTCTATAGATACCTGAGTGGCTACCAACAGCTCTTTATGGAAATGAACTTCTAAGGTGCCAAGACCCTATAGAAGGCTGAGAGAAGGGACAGCTGGTAGGTCTTGAGATTCCTCCAGTCTCAGCTTTGTGTGTGTGTCTTGAAGGGACAAAAACCCTCATGTCATCATGTGTCGTAACAAGAAGACAGCAACACACAGAGAAGTTAGTAATTCCCAAATGAAGAGACAGATAACTTTAAGACTTCCTTGTGGGACAGAAACTCCTCCTAAAGAAGTGAGTTTTGTTTTGTGGGGGCTATTTTTTCTTTATTTGGGTTTGTAAGAACACTAATAGTCTGTAACAGGGCTATTCTACCCCTAATGTAGACCCTCAGGGATGCTGAACTCCTGGAACATTTCAGGCAACAGGAAGGAACCTTCCAGAATATTTCATGTACCTGCAAACAAAGGGCTTTTTGTTTTGCCAGTCCTGGCACTTGAACTCTTGACTTTTTTTTTTTTTTTTGCTTCTTTTGCTCAAGGCTAACACTACCACCTGAGCCACAGCACCACTTCTGGCTTTTTCTGTTTATGTGGTACTGAGGAATCAAACCAGGGCTTCACGCATGCTAGGCAAGCACTCTATCACTAAGTTACATTCCTAGCCCAAGCAAGAGCTTTATAAATTTTCTTTCATTGTTGTGTAAGACTAGTGGGAGAGTTTTCCTACATAGCTCATGCCTTTGGTTCTTGCATTTCTCCTGTCTCAGTCTCCCAAGGGCTGGGATTATAGGCCTGCGTGTCCAGGCCCTTTCTTGCCTGAGTCTGCATTCTCTGCTTCTCACTTGCTCTGGGAGCCTGGACCTAGTCTGGGACATTGGAGTTGCTGAGGCTGCTCCCCAAGTTAGAGTAAGGAAAGGCTCAAACATGCCCACCTTAACCAACGCCCATTTCTCCTTTAGGTTCCAAAGGCCAGTGAACATCCCTGTAAGCAGGAGCAGGTGTGGGGTTTTGTGAGTGTGCCCTGAGAGCAGGGTGGGTGAGAGCACACACCTCTGCCATGGGCATCACCAGTGTCCATAAGCCTCATCTGAGCCCGGGTTGGTGCCATCCTTCCCATGAAGTTCTAATGCAGAACTTCATCCCACAGCTCATTACCCTAAACATGCCATTTGGGGCGACTTCTAGTACAGAACTTGGGCAAATAGTAGAGCTGAGCCAGCTTTCTAAGTAGTTCTAGCCCTTAACAACATGAACCAAGGCCACACTAACTTTCTATGTTTCTTCTGTTTTGTGCACTAGGGCTTGAACGCAGGGCCTTGAACTTGCTAAGCAGGTGCTCCACCACTTGAGCCACACCTCCATCCCTTGTTGCTTTATTTTTCTAATAGGGTCTCACATTTTTGCCAGAGGCCAGTGATCTCCCTAGTTGTACTTCCTGTGGCTGGCATGACACATGTGTACCACCACATCCAGTTTTTCTTTATTTTTATGGGTGAAATAGGTCTCAATGTTTTTGCCCAGGCTAGCCTCAAATGGTGATACTCCCAATTTCCACCCCTGACTAGCTGGGATTATAGGCCTGAGCCACCATGCTCCACTGCTTTAGCACTCTTGACTTTTCTTTCTTTTTTTTTTTTGCCAGTCCTGGAGCTTGAAATCAGGGCCTGGGCACTGTCCTTAAGTCTCTCGGTGCTCAAGGCTAGCGCTCTACCACTTGAGCTACAGCACCATGTCCGGCTTTTTCTGTGTATGTGGTACTGAGGAATCGAACCCAGGGCCTCATGCATGCTAAGGCAAGCACTCTACCACTGAGCCACCTTCCCAGCCCCTTTAGCACTCTTGACTGTCCCCTTCTTGCTTGTAAGAACTTCCGTGCCTCCTGGCCAAACTCCATATCCTTAGACTTGCCTGTAACTGATTCAGGGTCTCAATGGAAGCCAGGCTGGCCTCAAACTTGTACTCTTCCTGCTTCAGTCTTCTGTGCTGGGACTACAGATGTGTACCAACATGCCCAGCTCTGCTTACCCACCTTCTTGGCCCATACTCACCAGCCAGCTGGCTACCCAGGGTAAACCTAGCTGAAGAAAGGTGCCGTCTATCCTACCAAACCTTTCCATTGCCCAGTGGGGATGGTCATTTGGAAGGCCGGACGGAGCAGGTGCCATTCTGATTGGGCTGACAAGTGACCTGGGAATGGGGGGAAGGTGCCATAGATGAGGAAACTGAGGTGGAGTTGGAGCAAGTGCTGGGAGGTGAGATTGGGAAAGGCTCTCATGGCTTGGTAACCAGAGAAGGCTTCTTGGAGGAGGCAGCAGCAGCACTGGGCCTTCGGAAGGACAGCTGGGCCCTGCATGGGAAAGGACCAGGGAACATCTCAAGAGGAGGACGAGCTGGAGCTGGTGTGGACGCTGCGCCCCTAAGTGCAGGCAGGAGTCAGGCAGCAGCATCATCTTTATCAACACATTTATTGACGGCCCCTGGGAGGCGGGGCTGGGGACAAAACATACAAACACAAGGACCTGCCCTCAAAAAGCTTCCATTCTAAGGAGACAGGGACAGAAAAATACAGATCGGTCTTTCCTAGGGACAGCCCACTCTGCCCGATGCAGGTCAGATGTCCCGGCCTACGCAAGGTAGGGTCTGCAGCCTGGGCAGTGCCCGCAGAGGCCTGAGGGCTGCAGCGCCACGCTGGGGGCTGACCACCTGGCTCCTAGGCGGTGGGCCCCAGAACTGGGGGAAAGGTGGGCTCAGGCCCAGAAGGGGCAATCCTGTCTGCCTTGGCCTTGGTACTGCTCGAGCCCAGTGGAGATGTAGGGTGCCATGGGCCCCCTGGCAGGGCCCAGGGAGGTGGGCGCCCTGCCTGGCCTCCACGGGTGAGTGGATCTGTCACGGGGCTGGTCCCTCACCCTGGAGGCCCCAGCCAGGGAGACGAAAAAGGCAGTTTCCTCAGTGCCCACCCCCCCACCCCCCAGCCCTCAGTGGGCCACTTGGGGAGACCCTCCTCCCAGAGTGGCCTCCAGGGCCAGGGCCTGCCAGAGGCCAGGGGGAGGGGCCTGCCCCTCCCCCCACCCAGGCAGTGGGGAGGGAGGAGGAGCCACTAATCAAGTTTCTCTGGGCCCCCACAGGGGGGCCACACCCCAGACCCTACCGATGGGGGGGCTCTGGCTGCGAGGGCCGTGGGCTCAGCAGAGGGGCTGGGCCCAGGGGGCCCCCGGGGGAGCCCTTCAGGGGGGGCACAGGGCGGGAGTCCAAAGGGGGCAGGCTCCTGGGTGCAGCTGGTGGCCCCCGTGCAGCCCCGGTGGGCAGGACGGCTGCGGGTGGAAAGGGTTTGGGGGGATCTGGAGCTGCTGTGGGGGTCGGCTGTGGGGGGCGCTCACGGCGCCGCAGCAGCTCCTGCAGTTTCTCGGCCTGCGTCCGCCTCAGGTGTGCCAGGGCCCGGCCACGCTGGAAGGCAGGCAGGAAGGCCTCCAGGCTCTGCTCCCCAAGCAGCAGCTGCTCCATCTGCACCTGGGAGTGGGGACAGGAAGCTTGGGAGACTGGGGCTGCTCCCACCCCTCCCACCATAGCCCCCCACTTTGAGGTCAGAGAAGGGGCAGGACCCCATGTCTAGTCATGACATCCAAGCATTAGGCCAGGCCTGCTGGTGCACTCCCACGATCCCAGCTACTCGGGAGGCAGAGGTCAGGAGTCTCACACTCCAAGGTCGGCCAGACACCCTATCTGCAAAATGACTATAGCCAAAAGGGCTGGGGGTGTGACTCAAGTGGCTGAGCACTTGCCTAGCCTGAAGTTCAAATCTAAGAAGTGCAACATCATCACTACCATCCAAGATCTTCAAGGAACTGGAGGGATTGCTCAAGTGGTAGAGCACCAGCCATGAGTGAAAAAAGCTAGGGGTCTTGGGTTCAGAAAACAGCAAAACAAACCCCATACACAAGCTGGCCCTAGGTCCTCTCATCCATACCCGCCAAGGCTCCCTAACCTGTCTTGAGTCCTGGGCCTCACTGCTGTGCAAATCCAGCCCTCTGCTGCTGGGGGTGTGTGTGTGGGGGGGGTGGAGAAGGGTCCCCTCAGCCGCCTGGGGCCCTTCTGTGGGCCAGGAGCTCCCAGCCTATGATGGAGCTGAATAGGACTGGTTGGATCCCCTCCAGTTCCTAAGCCCAGCCACTTCGACCCTCACCTCAGCTTCCTGCTCAGCTTCTTCCAGCTCAGCTTGCAGCCAGCCTAGTGCACAGTGGGGGCTCCAGCGATGCGTGCTCTCCTCTGAGGACCACAGAGGGACAGAGTGACAGGCCAGACCAGACCAAAGCCCAAGACCTCTGCCATTGGCTCTGTGTGTGAGCCTAAGTATCTCGCCTCCTCTGTGGAGCCTTGTTTACTCATTTGTCCATTACTAATCACAGGACACTGAGTGATGTGGACAGATGGCCTCCTGACTTCCAAAACCAGGTGAGAGGTGAAGCAGCCCCTACTAATATTCTGCCTCTAGTGTAAAAGCAAAGAAAGAAGCAGGTCTGTGAGGCTCGCATGCATGATCGCAGCCACTGGTAGACACAGACCAGGAGGCTCTCAGTTTGAGGCAGGCCCAGACAACACAGCATGCCCCCATCTCAACTAAGAAGCTGGGTGTGGTGGTGCCCATTTGAATCCCAACCACATGGGAGGACATAGATAGGAGGATCCCAGCCTGAGGTCTTCCCATGGCAAAAATGCAAGTCCCATCTGGAAAATAAGGTGTGTGTGTGTGTATGTGTAAATTAAGGTGTGTGTGTGTCTCAAGTGGTAGGGTGACTAGGAGGCAAAAGTATTGAGTTCAAACTTCAGTTCTGGCAAAAGGTGGGGGAAAAAAAAGAAGAGTTTTGACTTCTAAAACACTAGGGCTTCGGGTCCCTTTCTTCCCAACCCTCCAGCCCAACTCCTTCCAAGGATTCAGCACCACTCACATTGGCCCAGGGTCAGGACTACCCCCACCCTTGAGGGTTAGCCTGCTCTATGCCAAGGCCAACCAACCAGGAGGTCAACAGCGGGCCTCTCCCGAAGGGCCTCCCCTGGCCCCTCACCCAGTCGCTGTAGCTTGTCAGCGCAGTTCTCAGCCACCTCTCGAAGCTCCTGGTACTTGATAGCCAGGGCCGTCCTGCCCATCTCCAGGCGAGGCCGCAGGGCGAGGTTCTCCTTGGCCAGTGCATAGTTGGAGGCCAGGCACGCCTCTCGCTCCAACTGCAGACCTTGGAACTGCCCCAGAGAAGAGGTGAGCAATCGGGGGGTCCGCCAGATAGGTGGCAACCCCAGGGGCACAGCCAACAGCCCCCTCCACACCCCGAGCCACAAGGGGGAGAAGCCCAACAGGTTGACCAGGGACCGGCTCTGACTCCAGCCCTGGGCCTGGTTCTCCTCCACCCTGAGTTGCAATCGCCTCTCTCCTAGGGTGGCTGTGAACCCCTAGTGAACCAAACTATCAAGGCCTTTACAAATGTTAGTTAATTTTTAATTTTTCAATTAATATGTCTGCTCGGGTCCCGGAGGACTTCTCCCCCGCCCTCCCTCCCTCCCTCCCGGTCCCATTTTCCACGAGCTGCTCGTCCAGCGTGCAGGCTTTGTCTGGCCGCCTCCTCCTCAGGTGGCTGTGGTGACCACACGGGTCCCCTGGCCCGGGGCTCGGCCGGGGGTGCTGGGCGTGAGCGCCCGCCCCCCGCGCCCCG